TTTTTTTTTTTTTTTGTTGAAACTGGGACTCACTCTGTCGTCCAGGCTGGAGTACAGTGGCATGATCATAGCTCACTGCAACCTCAAAGTTCCAGGCTTGGCCGGGCGAGGTGGCTCAGGCCTGTAATCCTAGCACTCTGGGGGGCCGAGGCAGGTGGATTGCTCAAGATCAGGAGTTCGAAACCAACCTGAGCAAGAGTGAGACCCTGTCTCTACTATAAATAGAAAGAAATTAATTGGCCAACTAATATACAGAAAAAGTTAGTCGGGCATGGTGGCACATGCCTGTAGTCCCAGCTACTTGGGAAGCTGAGGCAGCAGGATTGCTTGAGCCCAGGAGTTTGAGGTTGCTGTGAGCTAGGCTGACGCCACAGCATCCCTCTAGCCTTGGCAACAGAGCAAGACTCTGTCTCAGAAAAAAAAAAAGAAAGAAAAAGAAAAGAAAAGAAAAGAAAAGAAAAAGAAACCTGTAATTCTGACTGGTTATCTCACTTGCTAGTGTAAGTAATGTTGTTCAGCTACTCTTATGAATTCTTAGGCCACAAAACGCTGGGAAGCTTTCCCTGGGAAACTGAAGAGGGTGATTCCCGCTCACCTCTTCTCCCAAGTACATGTAGGGACTAAAAGGACTGCAGAGTTCTTATTTTCATGAAAATACTGAGAATCTTGGCTCACTTAAGGGAATCCCTCACTCCCTTGCCAGGCAGCTGGAAGGAGTAGCATTCATTAGCCATTGACTGCAGTGAGGGGGAGAAAGTGTGGCGTCCCTGAAGGGCAGTGGGAACCCAGAGAAGGGTCCCATTAGGAATGAAGAGGACCCTTTGAGAGATGTGGTTTGCCTTTTTTTTTTTTTTCTATTGGTGGGCCCCAGTCTTGTCTTAGAGGAAAATAAAATCGAGCCACTGCACCGTGGGGACAAAGCATTCACCAGAAGGCAATCATCTTCAGAACAAATATCTGATACTTGACCTTGTACCCCAGCTCAGCTACAAGCACAAGTAAAGAGATCAGGGCTGGCAAGACGACTCCAGTCCTGAGTCAAATCTTCCCAGCTGAACAGGACCAGAGGTATCTGAGGGACTCTCGCCACCACTGCACTGTCTCCTGCTACTGCAGAGCCAGGGCTGGTGACTCTATGCAGTTGCCACCACAACTACCTGGCAGGAACCGTAGAGCTGAAGCCTCATTTGCCAGCAAGGGACAAGGCAGGTGTGGGACCACAGGAAGAGAAGCAGCCCGCTCCACTGAAGGACCCGCTGGCCCTTCTCTTCCCACTACCCCTCACCCTAACTCTCTAAGCCCAAGTCTCAGCTCCCTTTCACCCTCCCACAGATGGGTCCTGGGGGCTGTACCCTGCCTGCTTCTGTCCCCAGAGCCAAAGCAGGAGAAAGGGCTCCGCCTCACCTGCATTTCTTCTCCTGAAGGGACTCCAGTGACACCTGCAGGTCTGTCAGATACTTGTCCTTTAGGCTCTGATAGGACACCTTGAGGCTGATGTGGAACTTCTTGACTTCTTTCAGCTCTTCCTTCACCTTCTGCAACAGCAGGTTTCGTTGCTGGGCCACACAATTTGACAACTTTCCCTGTTGCAAGCCAGGGAAGTGACTCTCTAGGGTGAAGTTTTTGATGACTTTGGGCAGGCTGGTGGGCAGGCAGTCTTCCCTACCTGGCTTGGGGGACTCAAAAAATGGGGCCTTCTCACTGGGCTGCTCACAGTTGTTCGGGTTACTTTCTGCTGTCAGCACTAAGCCTTTGGGCCTGCATCCTTCCTCCAGCTCCTGGAGCTGCTGGTGACATTGGCGAAGCCTTCGCTCAATCTGGGCGATGGTAGCAGAGGCACGCTGGTTTACCTTCTCGAAGGCCTGCCGGATATGCAGGGCCTGGTGCCGGTCTGCTTTGGACACCAGCTTGAGGTAGCCCACGGTGTTCTCGTCCCGGATAGCCTTCTCCACTCTCAGCTGCTCTGACAGGTAGAGGATTCGGTGCTTGATGCCATCCTGTAAGTTCCGGGCAAGCTCCCTGTCCGAGAGGCTGCAGTGGCCACTGGGGCCATCTTCACTGGACAGGGATCTGCATGAAGGCACACTGGAGGGGAGGGTTGCACTTGTGCTCTTGGTGTATTCTGTCTGCATCTGGAAACAAAAATCACAAAATAGGTACTCTGCGACCTACAAATAATGGGAGAATTGGACACATCATGACTTCACTCCATAAAAACACACATATGCATGAATACTTATGCATACAACATTTGTGCATTCAAGATGGGGCCAATGCATACTGGGGTCAAGTTCATCTTCTGGGCTCTTCTCCCCACCTTTTCAGCATCTGACTCCTTGCTCTATGGGTGTATCTTACTACCTACGACCCCCAGATGGCTAGAATCTTCCCTCCACAATTGACCCGCCTGTTCTTGGACCTCTCCCTCTATTTTACCTTTCAAGAATTACCAACTGTGATTCTCATTTATAAAGAACTGTTCTTGTAAAGTATGGAATAAACTCATTCCCATTAACCCATACAGCTTGCCATATTGCAACTCCCAGAGAAATTTGCATCCTAACAGGTTCATTCATTCATCCAATTATTTATTCAACACATATTTCTTGAGGGCCTACTATGTGGCATAAAAGCCAGATACACTTCTTGCTCTCATAGAGCTGACAGCCCAGGGTGGAAAAGTCTATTGTAATACAAAATAATGAGTCTCTCACATGGCAAGGAATAACATTGCCTTTGAGATAGAACCCAGTTCAAATCCAAGATCTACCACCCTGAGACGTTGAACAAGTTGATAAACCACTCAGAGGCCCAGTTTTCTCACTTCTAAAATAAAGATGGCATTGGCAACATAGCTGGAGCCCAGTGGACCAGGGCAGAGTAGGGGACAAGGATCTAGAAGAGGAAGGTAGGGCCAGCTCAGGTGAAACCTTTGTTCTGTTTCTTTCTTTTTTTCTCTCTTTTTCTTTTTCTTTTTCTTTTTTTTTTTTTGTTGAAATGGGACTCACTCTGTCGTCCAGGCTGGAGTACAGTGGCATGATCATAGCTCACTGCAACCTCAAAGTTCCAGGCTTGGCGGGCGAGGTGGCTCAGGCCTGTAATCCTAGCACTCTGGGGGCCGAGGCAGGTGATTGCGTCAAGATCAGGAGTTCGAAACCAACCTGAGCAAGAGTGAGACCCTGTCTCTACTATAAATAGAAAGAAATTAATTGGCCAACGTAATATACAGAGAAAATTATCGGGCATGGTGGCACATGCCTGTATCGCCAGCTACTTGGGAAGCTGAGGCAGCAGGATTGCTTGAGCCAGGAGTTTGAGTTTCTGTGACTAGCGGACGCCACAGCACTCACTCTAGCCTGGGCAACAGAGTGAGACTCTGTCTCAAAAAAAAAAAAAAAAAAAGTTCCAGGCTCAAGCAATCCTCTTGCCTTAGCCTCCTAAGCAACTGGGACTACAGGCATCGGCCACCATGCCCGGCTAATTTTTAAAAATTTTTTTGTAGAGATGGGGTCTTGCTGTGTTGCCAAGCTGGTCTTGAACTCCTGGCCTCAAGTGATTCTCCTGTCTCAGTCTCCCAAAGTTCTGGAATCACAGGCATGAGCCACGGCGCCCAGCCTTGTTTCTACTTTGAAACTGTAAGCACCTTCACAACAGTTTGTGATGTGAAAATGCTTTCCCAGTGGCACATCAAAAGTGATTATAGGCCGGGCGCGGTGGCTCACGCCTGTAATCCTAGCACTCTGGGAGGCCGAGGCGGGCGGATTGCTCCAGGTTGGAGTTCGAAACCATCCCTGAGCGAGACCCGTCTCTACTAAAAATAGAAAGAAATATTGCCACTAAAATATATATACAAAAATTAGCTGGGCATGGTGGCGCATGCCTGTAGTCCCAGCTACTCGGGAGGCTGAGGCAGGAGACGCTGAGCCCAGGAGTTGAGGTTGCTGTGAGCAGGCTGACGCCACGGCACTCACTCTAGCCAGGGCAACAAAAGTGAGACTCTGTCTCCAAAAAAAAAAAAAAAAAAGTGATTATATTGTATATGAGAGCTCGGTTCGGGTATTTTATTTACTGTAAATAAATTATACCTTGATTTAAAAAAAAAACACAATGTGATAACACTACACACCCAGCAGATTGGCCAAATTTAGGCAAACAATAAGTGACAAGGGGCCGGGCGTGGTGGCTCACGCCTGTAATCCTAGCACTTTGGGAGGCCGAGGCAGGCGGATTGCTCAAGGTCAGGAGTTCGAAATCAGCCTGAGCGAGACCCCGTCTCTACCAAAAATAGAAATAAATTAATTGACCAACTAAAAATATATATACAAAAAAAATTAGCTGGGCATGGTGGTCCATGCCTGTAGTCCCAGCTACTCGGGAGGCTGAGGCAGTAGGATCGCTAAGCCCCGGAGATTGAGGTTGCTGTGAGCCAGGCTGATGCCACGGCACTCACTCTAGCCTGGGCAACAAAGTGAGATTCTGTCTCAAAAAAAAATAAGTGACAAGGATGTGGATCAACAGGAACTCTCAATCACTACTGGTGGGAGAGTAAATTGGTATAACTACTTTGGAAAAGCATTTGGTAGTATCATAAAGTTGAAGACATGCATACTGAATAATCCAGCAATTGCATTCATAAGCAATATCCCCAGGAGACAGGTACACTAATGTTCTCCAAGACCAACTACTAGAAACAACCCATGTGCCTATCAAGGAGTAGAATGTGTAAGGAAACTGTAATATATGCAACAATATACAACTGTACAGCAATGAAAACGAACTACATCCTTGAAAATCACAAATGAATTTCACAAGCATAATGTTGAAGAAGCCAAATAGAAAGTCTATATTTTGTATGATTCCATTTATATAAATTCCAAAAGCAGGCAAAACAAAATGATTTTATGTAGAGATGCCTACACAAGCAGTAAAGCTATACAGAAAAACATGGATGTTAGTAACATGAACTTCAGGATGCTGGTTTCCACTAAGCTGGGAAAAGGGAACTGTGACTGGAGAGGACATGTGGAGGCTGGGGTGCTTGCCTTGAGTACTAGTTAAATGTGTGTTCATGTTATCATTGTTTCTTAAAATATATGTTGATGTTTTCTGTACCTTTGTGTACATATGTCAGATTTCATGGCTTAAAAAATTTTTTAATGTTCAATAGATGGATTTAGTAGCAGATTAGATATGACTGGAGAGACTATCAGTAAATTGTACAACAGAGCTAAAGAAAGTATCCAGAATGCAGCACAGAGGCTCAAAGAAATAGAAAATTTGAAAAATAGAAGATAGTGTGAGAAGGTCTAACAAAAATCTAAATTTCATGCCAGAAAGAGAAGCTAGAATGAAACAGCAGCAATATTTTGAAAGATACTCCCTAAGAACTTTCCAAAACTGATGAAAGACACAAATCTGCAAATTAAAAAAGCCCAATAAATCCCAAGCAGGAAAGACAGAAATAGGTCGATACCTAGACACAAGATCTTAAAAGCTGCCTGAGATAAAAAGCTGATTACCTTTAAAACCATTATTTTTATACTTCAAGCTGACTTCTCAATAGCACCAATGAAATCCAGACGACAGTTGAATAATATCTTCAATACACTAAGAGAGTAACTGTCATGGGAAAAAAAGGTCGCAAAGAATCAGAAGTCAGAGTACCTTCAGACTTTCAAGCAACAGCATGGGGGAACTAGAAGACTATAAAGTAATGCCTTCAAAATTCTGAGGGAAAAAATGATTTTCCAACCTAGAATTCTTTACCCAAACTGTCAACTTATGAAGTTAGACTATAAACATTTTCAGACATGAAAGAACTCAAATAGTTTACTTCCTCTACATTCTTTCTCTGGAAGCTACTTGAGAAAGTGTGCCACCAAATCAGGCACTATTCTAAGGAAAAGATGGAGATGGTATCTAGGAAACAGGGGACCCAAGCCAAAAAACAGGCAATCTCCAGGATGATAGGAGAGCCCAGGCTAATGGCTTGGCAGCAGTCCTGGAGAGCAAGTCAAAAGGCTCCAAGACAGCTCCAAGGTAATGAAAACTACTAGAATGCCAGACATCTTCCAACATATGCATAAGGAGATTTAGACAATTGAGGGAAGTCTTGAACTAGTGATCAGTAATAGAGAACAAGCAAAAAGAGGATGACTCCAAGGAAAACAAAAAGTTGGGAGAGAAAGGAAGAGTCATCATAGTCATTACTCAGTTGTGCCTAATGTTTCCATGAATTTGATAATGTAAATACAGAACTATCTAACCAAAATCATTGTACACAGGACTGGAAGGATGGGGAACAGGAAGTGTGTGTTGGTGGGGGCAGGTGAAAGAGCTATATCGTCATTTTTTTTTCTTTAATAGAGACAAGGTCTCACTCTGTTGCCCAGGCCAGAGTGCAATGGTGTCATCACAGCTCACCATAACCCTGAACTCCTGGGCTCAAGCCAACCTCCTGGAGGCCTCAGCCTTCCAGGTAGCTAGGACTGCAGGCACCTACCACCACACCTGGTTAATTTTTAAAATTTTTATATAGAGAGTGTTTCACTATGTTGCCCAGGCTGGTTTCACACTCCTGGCCTCAAGGGATCCTCCCGCCTCAGCCTCCCAAAGTGCTGGGATTATAGGAGTGAGCCACGGTGTCCAGCCATCATCTTTTATAGTGAGAAATCAAGTGGTAATTGATAATATATATTTAAAAAACAAAGAAATAGGACTATAAACAAATTATTTAGAAAATTGGAGGTAAATACCAAAAGAAACAACTAAAAGCATTGAAAGTGGTTGATTCTGGGAAGTAGGTGGTTAAAGGCCAGGGAGTGCTACTTTTTTTGTAATAAACCTTATAGAACCCCTTAACTCTTTGAACCAGTGGTCAGCAAAGTATTCCCCAAAGGCCCTCTGCCTGTTTTTGTATGGCCTATGAGCTAAGAATAGTTTTTACATTTTTTAATTGTTGGAAAAATCGAAAATAAGAATATTTCTTGACATGTGAAAACTACATAAGATTCAAACTTCAATGTCTATAAACAAAGTTTTATTGGAACACATCCACACTCATTCATTCAGGTATTGTCTATGGCTGCTTTCATGTTACAGCAATGGCTGAGTAGAGTAGTTGCAACAGAGACCATGTGGCCTAAAGTATTTACTATCTGGCCCTTTACAGAAAAGTTTGCTGACCCCTGCTTTAAACTATATTCATGTGTACCATTGATAAATGTAAGATCTAAGTAACTATTTAAAAAGCAAGTTGTAAACAGGGAAAATAAAAGTTTGCTAATGACTTATTCTGGGGGAAATTTTATATTAATAGATACAATGTAAAACTCAAAATTGAGAGAAAAATATATTAGTGAAAAAAATCAAAAGTAACACTAGAAGTATAGAACCCAGATATGTACATAGCATCCAAATAACCAAGGTGGGAATGGAACTTGATTAATCCAACAAAAGGAAGAGAAGGAAAAACAAAGAGAAATAAGACCTCAGGATAACCAGAAAATATAAAATAGGATGCCAATAAGATGTGATTTCTAATTGGCTATATGCTATATTCTTGAGAAGACTCAGTATTGTAAAGACATTATCTCTCTGCGTAGTAACCTTCCATGAAATTCCAATTAAAAACCCAGGGGGAATGAATGTCTCATGAATCTTAAATTAGCTGATTCCAAAGTTTATTTAGAAGAGAAAATGCAAAATAATAGCTACGACATTTTTAAAAAAGAATACTAAACATGGTACTGGGAAAATGGAGTACTTCAAAAAATATTAGAGTGCTACTTTATATTTTATACAATAATAAAGTGCAGACGGAACAAAGAAATATAAAAAGCAAAACTATAAACTTATTATTAGTACATAATAAGAAATGTTTTTATAATCTTTGGGTGAAGATGAGCTTTCTAAGCAAGACTCAAACCAAAATTCCATAAAGAAAAAATTTACATATTTTATTACATAAAAAATTTCAAAACCTTCTGCATGGAGAAGAAATTCCAAAGTTAAAAAGAAGCAACATTTAGGGTTTGTTTTTTCTTAAAAATAAAGTATCTCCTTTACCATTGAAAAATGCAACACGATGAGAAAAAAGACTTGGAATATCTCCAATAGGTAAGTGGATAATCAACATAATATATAAAGAACTCCTACAAATTTGTAAACTACAAATAAATAATCCGATATAAAGACATTAAAGGATAGTAATGCACAATTCAGACAGGTCGAAATACAAAAGAAACCCAGCACAACTGCAAGGTGATCAGGGAATGCTAAGTGAAAGCAATGATTACTATTTTTTCATCCATCAAAATGCCAAAGATGAGAAAGTTTAACAATATCGGTGTTGATAAGGATGCAGGGAAATGATCACTCATATACTCTGCAAGTAGGAGTATATACAGGTTCAGGGTTTTTGATGAGCAATTAGGCAATATCTATTAAAATTTTAAATGTACATACCCTTTAACCCAGCAAGAACATGGGAACCTAATGGCATTCAGGTGACACTCTGGGAATCTCATGCAGGAATTTGGCATTTTTGAACTAAGATGGAGCAGTTGGGCTCCCAAGTGGTTGAACTTCGGTATATTGTTGTGGAAATGGCATCTCTGAAGGCAAAGTCAGTTCCAGGAGCTTACTCCAGTCAGGCTACCTGGTCACATTACAGGCTGGCATTGGGCTAACACCACCTCAACAGGCACATGGAGCTTGGAGCTTGCCTTATAGAATGTTCTAGAAAAGAGGCTGGGCGCAGTGGTCCACGCCTGTAATCCCGGCACTCTGGGAGGCCTAGGCGGGAGGACGGTTTGAGCTCAGGAGTTCGAGACCACCCTGAGCAAGAGTGAGACTCAGCTCTACTAAAAATAGAAAAAATTTGCCGGGCCACTCCGGAGGGACTATAGGAAAGACCGATTGAGCCCAGGAGTTTGAAGTTCCTGATGCCATGGCACTGCAGCCCAGGTGACACAGCCAGACTGTGTCAGAAAAAAAAATAGAATGTTCTAGAAAGGACATTTCTAGAACATGCTGGGCTGGCGTCTGCTAAAAAGCCCACCTAGAGCCTGGGCTGCTATTGGGAGAGAGGGTGGCCATCGGCCAACTTTGAAATTCCACCGTGACCTTATCGCGATAAAATGAACACAATGGAAACTTCACCTTTGTAACTACTTTCCAGTGTGTAATTCGACCCATGTACAACATTTACCACGTTGTACAACTACCGTGACCACCTAGTTCCAGAACATTTTTACCACCCCAAAGGAGACCCTGTGCTCGCTGGCAGAGGGAAACTCCTTGGCAACTGACGGCCTGAGAAAAGACAAAAAGAAATGGAATTATTCTGAATAATGTCGCATGTGTAAGTGACTACTGAAATGCATTGAAGTGGGCGCGGGAAGAGAGTGGCGCGGAGGGATCCGCGCGGAAGGATCGCTGCGGAGGGATCGAAACAAAGGTCACGTGGTAGATGCGGAGCAAACCCGACCACATTTGTTCCGTAGACGCCGACGCGGTCACACTCATGGCCGATGCTGAAGCGAGCACTGCGATGGCAGACGAGGCCAGGCCCGACGAAAAGACGGTGCAAGTGCTGCGAGACTTGGCCAACCGCCTGCGCATCCATGCCATCAGGGCCACGTGTGCCTCAAGCTCTGGGTAAATTCCCCTCGTCTAAACTCGCATCGTGTGGGGCGGCGGGTCTGGCGGCGACGAGGCCGTAGAATTATGGGAGCTCAGTGGACTTGGTCTTAGAGGACTTATCTCAGGCCATTGGGGTCTAGCTACCACCCTTCGATGCCCATGAGGCACTGTCCCCGCCAGTCTAAATGGCCAGCCTGTGCTTGGGTGCCCGCCTCTTGCACCCCTCCCGCTCCCCCTCCACTGCCGAGGTTCTGGAGGTCCCCCACAGCCTTACCCATTAAGAGAAAAGAATATAGATCTGAGTCAGATGGGCTGGCGATAACCCTGGGATCAGATTGGCCTAACTGTGGTTTGCATTTTAGCAGGGAGCAAGGCTTCCTGTGCAAGCAGTTGTACTGGGTGCCAGGGTATGAATGAATGACCCTAACCTAGGACTTCAGGGTAAAAGAAATTAAAATAAAGCGGTCGGCTGGTAAGAATCAGAGCAAAAATGAGTTGTTGGGTTTGCTAGTATCTTGTGGAGGATTTTCGTATCAGTATTCATATGGGATATTGGTCTGTAAATGTTTGGTAAAATTCACCACTGAGGCCATCAGGTGGAGAGCTTTTCTTTGTAGGAAGTCGTTGTTTGTTGGTTTTTGAGACAGTCTTACCCGTCTCCTGGGCTAGAGTGCCATGGCGTCAGCCCAGCTTACAGCAACCTCAAACTCCTGGGCTCAAGCAGTCTTCTGTAGTCCCTCCCGAGTAGCTGGGACTACAGGCACCACCACCACGCCCAGCTAATTTTTCTATTTTTAGTAGAGACGGGAGTCTCACTCTTGCTCAGGCTGGTCTCCAATTCCTGAGCTCAAGCGATCCTCCAGCCTCCCAGAGTGCTAGGATTACAGGTTGTGAGCTACCCTGCTCCAGCCATGTCTGGAGTTTCTTGATTACCACTTAAGTCACATTACTATTAATAGCTGTAAGTCTATTCATATTTTATTGTCATGATTAAGTCATATGGAGTTTTGTGTTCCAGAAATTTATCCATTTCTTAGAGGTTAACCCTTTTGTTGGCATACAGTTACCATAATACACTCTTACCCTTTTTACTTAGTAGCAGTAGTAATATTCCCACTTTCACTTCTGATTTCATTTGTCTTCCATTTTTTACTTAGTTTATCTAGCTAGTTTTTAAAATATTTTTTCAAAAAAACCTTTTGATTTCATTGATTTTTTTTCTCTATTAGTCTCTCTCATTTATTTCTGTTCTTTATTTTTTCCTTCCTTCTGCTACCTTTAGATTTTGTTTTTTCTTTTTCTAGTTCCTTAAGTTGTAAAGTTAGGTTATTGATTTGAGGTATTTTTAAAAAATGTATTTATAGCAATAAATTTCCCTCTGGGGCTGGGAGTGATGGCATGTGCCTATAGTCCCAGCTATTTGGGACTATAGGTTGAGGTGGGAGGATCACTTGAGCCCAGCAGTTAGACACCAGCCAGGGCAACATAGTGAGACCCTATCTCAAAAAATTCCCTTCACCAGCTTGAGCAAGAGAGAGACACCCATCGCTACAAAAAATAGAAAAATTACTGGGGTGTGGTGGTGCACATCTGTAGTCTCAGCTACTCAGGAGGCTGAGGCAGGAGGATCACTTGAGCCCAGGAGCTTGAGGCTGCAGTGTGCTATGATGATGCCACTGCACTCTAGCCTGGGTGACAGAGCAAGACTCTGTCTCAAAAAAAAAAAAAAAAAAACAACCCTCTAAGCACTACTTTTGCTGCATCCCAGAAGTTTGGGTATCTTGTGCTTTTGTTTTCATTTGTCTCTGTTTTCTAATTTTCCTTGTGATTTTTTTTTTTGACCCATTGGTTGTGTGTTGCTTAATTTTCACAAATGTATGGATTTTCCAGTTTTCCTTCTGTTATTGATTTCTAACTTCATCCCATTGTGGTCAGAGGAAATACTTAGTATATCTCTTTTTGAATCTTGCCGTGGAGCCTGGGCTATGATAGTAAAAGGACAGTGAACGTGATTAAGACCTATATATTTTTGAAATACTGTTACATATTTATTTTGCTCCTTTCACCCTCAAAATTAATAACAGAGGGTTGCATTTTCTCAAGAGATCTCTATGGCTTTTAAATGTAAATCATCCATGTGAAGGACATTTGCAAGGTAAAAGGTTTAAGTCCCCATTTTCTTTATTGTGAAATTTGAAATGAGATTATTAACGTGAATGAACTAGGCCTAAAATATTTTTCTAACACTTGGGGCAGGGCTCCAGGGATTTGGTTTTTTCCTGTCCTCTCCCCCTTTTTAATTAATTAGGGACTGGCTGAACTCACATGCAGGCTGATTTTTTAAGAACAGTAGTTATTTTGGTGGCATTCAGAAAGGGCCTGAGTTAATTGACCATGAGAAATGTCTCAGTCTTTTACCATTCACTTCTTAAAAGAAATGCATTTTAGGTAGTAGGATGAGACCATCATGGTGTTTCTCATTGGCAGTGCTTCTGAAATTTTCTCAGCAAGTGAAGTACTGTAAATGAATGCAAACAAGTGAAAGAATACTCAAGTTGGAGTCACAGTGAACTTGCCCCAAGTGCAGGACGTTCTATTGATAGAAGGGGGCTGGTTTCAGAGCATCTTGCTGTGTGCAGGGAGAGAGATCATGAGGTTACTGTGCTTTAAAGTATCCTTCAAAGACATGAGCTTGGAAAGCTGTGGCCCTGCATCCCTTACCCTTGGCTGGGTTCTTCCTGGGCTGGGAGAAATGACTGCTGCTTCGGGTCTGAGGAGACCATGTGCTGAAGCAAAGTCCCTGGGAAATCACTTGCCTGTGAGAAATGACCTGTGTCATGCTTGCCTTTCAGCCACCCCATGTCATGCAGCAGTGCCGCCGAGATCATGTCTGTGCTGTTCTTCCACACGATGAGGTATAAACAATCAGACCCGGAGAACCCGGACAATGACCGATTCATCCTCTCAAAGGTATGCCATCAGGGGAGCCCAGGGCTTGCTCCAGTGCTTGCTTCTTAAGCCCATTTTTAAAAGCCACCACGTAGGAACAAGGCCTGGAATGGACTTGTCATTTTGGTTCTTCGTGTTTTGCATCGTAAGGATCTAAAGGGTATTCTAGTGAGGACCACTTGAAGCCATGTGGCTTGTGTATCTGGAAGGGTGGCTTGTGGCAACAGGTGTGCTTTCTTCCCTTTAGTGGTACCTTGCCTCCACCCCACCTCACACTGAAGCCCCCCCTTGGTAGGGTTATGCTGCTCCCATCCTCTCGGCTGCCTGGACAGAGGTGGGCCACCTTAGTGGATCCAATTTGCTGGGCCTGAGGAAAAGTGGGTATGACTTGGAAGGACATTCTGTCCCTATCAGTCAGCTTTCCCTTCCATTTCTCTGCAGATATGGCCTGAAATTGATGGTGTACCTTCTCATCAGACTAGGTATAAATACCAGCTACCTCATGATGTTAGAGGACAGGAAAGAAAAGGAACCTTAAAAACAAGGTCAATCTGAGAATGTGTTGCTGGTTTGATGCCATCTGAAAGTATGCTGTGTTCTGAAGGAAATCACTTAAAACCTGGCTGGTACAGCACCATGTCCAAACAGAGATACCAGATTAGGAAGTAGGGATAGTTAATGAATGCAGAAATATACTTAAATAGAATGAACAATGTTTGATAGAACAACAAAGTGACTATAATCAACAATAAGTAAAGGTGTACTTTAACTAGAAGAGTGGAATCGGAATGTTCCCCAAACAAAGAAATAATCAATGCTTGAGGTGATGGATACCCCAACTACCCTGATTTGATTAATTCACATTGTATGCCTGTATCAAAACATCACATGTACCCTATAAATATATGCAACTATTATGCAACTATAATAATTAAAAATAAATTTAAAATAAAGAAGAAATACCAGATTAGGGCAGTGGGAAGTAGTTTAAAGACAAAATCAAACTGTAGGCATGGCTGAAGTACCTAGGGGCAGAGATCTCCAACCTTTTTGGCACCAGGGACCGGTTTCATGGAAGACAATTTTTCACAGATGGGAGAGGGGGGAGGCAGAGCTCAGCTGGTGATGCAAACAATGGGGAGGGAGAGCAGCTGTAAATACAGGTGAAGTTTTGTACCTGTTGGTCAGCTCCTACTGTGTGCCCCCCTTCCTAAGTTTCATGAAAGGCAGTTTTCCTGGACAGAGGGGGGTGGTTAGAGCTCTGCAGCCCGGTTCCTACCATAGCCTAAGAGTTATAATTGTGACCTTTGTCTTGGTGTCTGAAACAGTTTGGCAAAAAAATAAATAGATTTTATGTGTGTGTAAATAGATAAAGTAAATGTGGTCCATCGGTAACAGTTGGTGAATCAGAGTAAAGGGGGTGTGGGAATTCATTATACTAGTCTTATAACTTGTCTATAACCTTGAACTTTATTTACAAAAAAAAAAACCTGAAAAAATTTGGATATACAAACACAATATGGGTGTTCAGATTTCTGGTTTAAAAAAAGGAAGGATGTGTAGATTATCATATAACCACTGCTATCAGAGTCATTGGCCTTAGAGGGATAAAGAACACAATGAGTACTGTTCAGCTGCCAGAATTTGTGTATTCATCAGATTTAGCCAGCAGATAAAATCAGAAAGAAAAGAGAAAACGCACAGGAAGCACAGTCTGTCATGGTTTTGACTCAGAATGGAGTAAATGGACACACTACAGGAGAACGGTTAGGGCCTTCATGGTGGGTGCACCCAAAGCAATCATCTCTTTAGGTGCAGGTGTCTAATGCAGAATATCACATTAAGAAGCTGACTGCTGGCTGGGCGCAGTGGCTCACACCTGTAATCCTAGTACCCTGGAAGGCCAAGGCAGGAGGATCGCTTGAGGTCAGGAGTTTGAGACCAGCCTGAGAAAGAGCAAGACCCTGTCTCTACTAAAAATACAAAGAAATTAACTGGACAACTAAAAATCTATAGAAAAAATTTGCCGGGCATGGGGGCACATGCCTATAGTCCCAGCTACTCGGGAGGCTGAGGCAGGAGGATTGCTTGAGCCCAGGAGTTTGAGGTTGCTGTGAGCTAGGCTGATGCCACAGCACTCTAGCCCAGGCAGTAGAGTAAGACTCTGTCTCAAAAAGAAAGAAAAAAAAAGAAGCTGACTGCCAAGGCCCAGCATTGTCATTGACTGTCAGGTTCTTGGATTCCCTTAGAGCTGTCGTGGTGCTACAGACTTTCCAAGGTATAGGGCTTGTGATCCCTGTCCCCCCACCGAGGCTTTTGTTTTTGTTTTGTCAGCTCTTTTTTTTCTCCAGCCAGGGAGGCCTGGAAAGCAACCAAAAGGCCTTTTTGTAAACTTGTTCTTGAAGCACACTTTGTGCTGGAACGAGGATGAGAAGTACCATCTGGGAGAGAAGTCTTTCTTTTTTGGGTGCCAATAGCACCTTACACACATTCCAGCCCTCAATCTCCCTGTATTCTCCCACAGCATGTGAGTTCTTGGGGAAAAGAAGGTAACCCATGTGGGGGCACTTCCACCATGCCAGGTATTGTGTTGATCCCCACCATTCTTAGTCTACCCTTACAGCCTCCTGCCACCTAAAGGAGGCTCTTGTCTCCATTTGTACCCATAAGGTAAAGCCTTTAGAAGGTGGGCTTGCTTGCCCCATGCTTCACAGTTGGGGAGGCAGAGTTGGTTTGAGTGCTGAGCCCAGGCTTGGTTCATGGTATTGTAGGGCCTCCAAGGGTGTGCAGGGCAACTAGGAGCCAGAGCTTGTTACAGGAGTGAGGTCAGTGCCATGGGGAGGAAGATGGAGCTAGAGACTTGGCCAGAAGAGACTTCAGTGGGACAGTTCTGCTAGGCTAGAGATGCAAAACTGAAAAGGAATCCAAGGACACAAAGCATGTAGCAAATGCCAGGGAAGTTCAAAAGAGCCCAGGAAAGAGTCGAGAGTAGGAAGCAAGAAGGGAAAGAGATCTGAGAATAACAAGTACCATTCATTCATCTGTGGTAGTGATGAACACACCAATCTCTGCTTGAATGGAGCTAATGTTTGAACAGAGGATGGGGACAGAGAAGAAACAAACTCATGAATGAAAAGATAGTATGACAGATGGAGCTGAGCATTTGGAATCAAGTAAAGTAGAGGGGGTGGGAGGCACTAGCTGTAAAAGAATGGTTCAGAAAGATCTTGATTTTGACGTTTGAGCAGATTTGGAAGTGATCAGAGAGTGAGCTGTGCACATATCTAGGCATAAGCACTCAGGTAAAGGAAGCCACAAGTGCTAAGGCCCTCAGGCAGGCCTGTGGCCATTGTGTTCAAGGGCAACAAGGAGACCAGGATGCTGGAGCAGTGGGAGGGGGATTTGGAGGTGATGGGGGCTGGAGTGTGCAGGCCAGTATAAGACGTTGAGCTCTACTTGACAGGAGAGGGGAAGACCTGGGATACTTAACAGAGACATGAGCCAGCTTAAGTTTTAACAGGCTCCCACTGGTGGCTGGGTTGAAAATGGAAATGGGTGAGGGAGGGAGTCCAGGAAGGAGGCCTCTGCAATGATAGAGGCCATGCTGAGATGGTGGCAGCAGAAGCTGTTGAATAAATACAGTATGTCTGAAAGCTTAGAACTGGAGCTTCTCCCATGAGTGCAGCAGACCTTTGGCATGGTCTTGTGGCCCTCAGAGGGCCTCCTTCTCCTCTTGGGACAATGATAACCCTGTGCATACAAACAGGATGTTGCAGGGGAGGGTAGAATGGTAGTGGAACGTCATTCTAAGAACCCGCATTCCCTAAAAGATTCAACGTGTGATTTGTTTGTGGCTGGAAAAAGGCCTTGTGAAAATGGCAAGAATCATGCCTTGTGTTTCCTGCTTTACACTTAGGCTCCCTCCTCTGTGCTCCCAAAACTCTAGTCTTGCTCACCACACAGTGTGGATTACCTATAGCTCCCTGGCATGGACAATGGATGTCTTCATCTTCTTTGTCAACCCCAGTTTCTAGCCCAGGCTGGGCTCTATTCTTGACCTGTGGTCCATGTGTAACATGATCTGAAACTTGGGGTATATGGGGGTATGGTGAAGAGGAATTCACCCAGCAGGGTGGGGTTGGCTGTTCTGATGGAATACAGCTATATGGCCAACAGAAGCAGCCTGCACTCAGCTGGAAGTTTGATAACTGTCCTGCAACTGTGCGTAGGTTAATTAGGTCCCTTCTCTCTCACAGAGACTGTCATTTGTTGATGTGGCAACAGGATGGCTCGGGCAGGGACTGGGGGCCGCATGCGGGATGGCATATACTGGCAAGTACTTTGACAAGGCCAGGTAAGGTGCTTACCCAGAAACCACTTAACTGCCCTGCCCCACGCCCCCTCTGGAGATCTCAGGACAGGTACCTAGCTCTGTGGGGTGGAGAGGAGCCCTATAGGGCCAGTCCCCATTCCATTCCATGGCAACCCCTCTGTTCCATTTCCCACATGTCTGTTGAAATTCATACATTATTGCCTCTGTTAGTTCTTATCCTAGGGTTAATAATTTTTTAAAACATTCCAACACTTGAGTGAGATCTAGGAGATAAGCATTCATTTTGTTTCTTAATGGAGGAGTTTAATGTTTATAACAGAACATGTGCTCCTGAGGTGTAGAATGTTTTGATTGTTGTGATTACTGTGAATAAACTGTAAGATCAGAAATAAAAGGTGGCAGTGCTTTAAAATGGAACTTATAGAATATAAGAAAATGTGTGTGTAAATGGTTTGGGGATTTAAGGGGATTGCTTTTTTTCCTATTCCCCTCTTGTTATCATGCTTGTTGATCAGGAGAAGTGGCAGGAGAACCTAAAAATAGGCTCACAGCTAGAATAGGAGAACTAACTGAAAGTGAAGCCCATCTCATGAGACCCAAGCTTTTAAAGCTTCATTTCCTCAGCTGCTAAATTTGTGCAGAGCTGATGAGGAAAATAGTCTTTGGGACCTGATGATCTAAAGCAGCTTCTCCAGGCTGTTCCTTTGTTTCTCTTCGAAAAAGTACATTTGCTGAGTGACCCAGATGAGCCCTCAGCCCAAAAGAAGGTCCTAAACCTCGCTTGTCTTGCTCTAGCTACCGGGTATTCTGCCTCATGGGAGATGGCGAGTCCTCAGAAGGCTCCGTCTGGGAAGCATTGGCCTTCGCTTCCTACTATGGTCTGGACAATCTCGTGGCAATTTTTGATGTGAACCGCCTGGGACACAGTGGTACCTTGCCCGCTGAACACTGCATAGATATCTATCAGAAGCGCTGTGAAGCCTTTGGGTAACCATATCCTCTCTTGCTTTACCTTCTTTCTGTCCCACCACCCTTTGTTTCTTGTAACCTGGCCTCTTCCTCTGTTGACAGGTGGAATACTTACGTGGTGGATGGCCGTGATGTGGAGGCGCTATGCCGAGTGTTCTGGCAGGCAACTCAAGTAAAGAGCAAGCCCACTGCTGTGGTTGCCAAGACCTTCAAGGGCCGGGGCTTGCCAAGTAAGCAAGTGTTTCTTTCCTGCTTGTGGTTATTAAAAACATCTGTCTGCACAACAGAAGAGGCAGAAGGAGGCCTAAACTGCCCTAGAGAGAGGACTTTTTTTAAATTTCAGAGTATTATGGGGGTACAAATATTTGGTTACATAAATTCTGTACAGTTTGAGTCAAAGTTGTAAGTGTTCCCATTGCCCAAGCAGTGTGCATTGTACCTGTTAGGTGTGAATTTACTCATCCCCTTCTCCCCTTCACCCCTGCTTGATTTCTGATGAGTTTTATTTCCATATGTACACATAAGTGTTGTTCAATTTGTTCCAATTTAATGGTGAGTACATGTGGTATTTGTTTTTCCATTCTTGTGATACTTCACTTAGAAGAATGGTCTCTAAGTCCATCCAGATAAATATAAGAGGTATTAGTTAACCATTTTTTCATGGCTGAGTAGTAGTTCATGATATACATATACCACATTTTATTCATCCACTCGTGTACTGATGGGCTCTTGGGTTGTTTCCACATCTTTGTAATTGTGAATTGTGCTGCTATAAACATTCAGGTGCAGGTGTCTTTTATAAAACGTCTCTTTTTCCTTTGGGTAAATACCTAGTAGTGGGATTGCAGTATCAAATGGTAGCTCTGCTTTTAGTTCTTTGAGGTATCTCCATACTACCTTCCATAGAGGTTGTACTTGTTTGCAGTCCCACCAACAGTGTGTAACTGTTCCTATCTTTCCACATCCACACGAGCATTTGGGGATTTTTTTTATAAAAGCCATTGTCACTGGAGTTAAGTGATATCTCATTGTGGTTTTTATTTGCATTTCCATGATGATTAGAGGCTTTGAACATTTTTTCATATGTTTGTTGGCCATTAGTTGATCTTTTGAAAAGTTTTTGTTCATGTCTTTTGCCTACTTTTTAACGGGGTTGTTTGATTTTTTTTTCCTGCTGATTTTCTTGAGTTCTTTGTAGATTCTGGTTATCAGCCCTTTATCAGATGTATAGCATGCATATATTTTCTCCCATTCTGTTGGTTGTTCACTTTATTGTTTCCTTGGCTGTGCAGAAGCTTTTTAATTTGATCGGGTCCCATTTATTTACTTTTGTTGTTGCTGTGGTTGCTTTTGGGGTCGTCTTCATAAATTCTTTGCCTAGGCCGATATCTATAAGGATTTTTCCAGCATTTTCTTCCAGAATTCTTAGTTTCATGCCTTAGGTTTAAGTCTGTTATTCATCGTGAGTTGATTATTTGTGAGTGGTGAGAGGTACAGATCCTGTTCAGTCTTCTACATGTGGCTATGTAATTTTCCCAGCACCATTTATTGAATATGATTCTTTTTCCCAGTGTATGTTTTTGTCTGCTTTGTCAAAGATCAGATGGCAATATGAGGATGGTTTTATATCTGGGTTCTCTGTTGTGTTCCATTGCTCTATGTCTGTTCTTGTGCCAGTACCATGCTATTTTGGCTACTATAGCCTTGAGTATAGCTTGAAGTCTGATAAAGTGATGCCTCCTCAAACTCCTGGCCTCAAGTGGTCCTCCTGCCTTGGCCTCCCAGAGTGCTAGGATTATAGGCATGAGCCACCATGCCCAGCCAGTGCTTCCTGATTTGTTCTTTTTGCTTAAGGTTGCATTGGTTATTCGGTCTTTTTTTCTGGTTCCATGTGAAGCATAGAATTATTTTTTCTAGATCTGTAAAAAAATGGCATTATTTTATTGGGAATTTCATTGAATCTGTAAATTACTTTGGGTAGTATAGACATTTTAACAATGTTGATTCTACTGGTCCATAAGCATGATGTTTTTCCATTTGTTTACATCCCCTATGATTTCTTTCCTCAGTGTTTCATAGTTCTCCCTGTAGAGGTATTTCACCTCCTTGGTTAAATATAGTGCTAGGTATTTGATTTTCTTTGTCGCTATTGTGAAAGGTATTGAGTCTTTGATTTGGTTCTCAGCTTGATTGTTGTTGGCATAGAGGAATGCTACTGATTTGTGTACGTTGATTTTGTAACCTGAAACTTTGCTGAATTTATCAATTCCAGGAGTCTCTTGGCAGAATCTTTGGGGTTTTCTAGATATAAGATTATATCATCAGCAAAGATAGTTTGACCTCTTCTTTCCCCATTTAGATACCCTTGATTTCCTTCTCTTGTTTGATTGCCCTGGCTACAACTTCCAGCACTATGTTGAATAGAAGTGATGACAGTGGGCAACCTTGTCTGGTTCCACTTCTAAGTGGGAATGCTCTCAATTTTTCCCCGTTAAGTATGGTATTTGGCTGTGGGTTTGTGTATGTTAAACCATCCTTGCGTCTCTTGGATGAAGCCCACTTGGTCGTGGTGGATTATTTTTTTGATGTGCAGCAGATTTCAGTTTGCTAGAATTTTATTGAGAATGTCTGCATCTGTATTAAAATCAGATATTGGTCTGTAGTTTTCTTTTTTTGTTGTGTCGTTTTCTGACTTTGGTATCGAGGTGACAATGGCTTCATAGAACGACTGGGGGAGGATTTCTTCCTTCTCAATGTTATGAAATAATTTCTGCAGTGTAGGTACCAGTTCTTCTTTGTAGGTCTGGCAAAATTTGGCTGTGAAACCATCTGGTCTGGGACTTTTTTTGTTGGAAGATTTTTATTGCTGCTTAAATTTAATTATTCGATCTGTTCAAGAGTTCTGTTTCTTCCTGATTGAGCCTAGAGAGGTTGTGTGTTTCCAGGAATTCATCCATTTCTTCAACATTTTTAAGTTTATGTACATAGAGATTTTTATAGTATTCAGAAATGATATTTTATATTTCTGTGGTATCAGTTATAATATCTCCTTTTTCTTTTTTTTTTTTTTGTCCATCTTTGGTTGTCCTATCCTTTTTCATTTCTGATTGAGTTCATTAGGGTCCTTTATTTTCTGTCTCTGGTTAGACTAGCGAGAGGCTTGTTGATTTTGTTTATCTTTTCAAAGAACCAACTTTTTTTTTTATTAATCTTCTGTATAATTCTTTCGGAATTGATTTCATTTAGTTCCTCTCTGAACTTAGTCATTTCTTTTCTTCTGCTGGGTTTGGGATTGGTTTGCTCTTCCTTTTCCAATTCCTTGAGATGATTCATTAGATAGTTGATTTGTGATCTTTCTGTTTTGTAGACATAGGCATTTAAGGCTGTGATGTTTCCTCTTAGGCCTGCTTTTGCAGAATCCCACAGATTTTGATAACTTGTGTCCTCTTTGTCATTTAGTTCAAAGAATCTTTTGATTTCCATCTTAGTTTCCTCCTTGGCCAGGCGCAATGGCTCACGCCTGTAATCCTAGCACTCTGGGAGGCCGAGGCGGGAGGATAGCTCAAGGTCAGGAGTTTGAAACCAGCTCTGAGCAAGAGCGAGACCCTGTCTCTACTAAAAATAGAAAGAAAATAATTGGCCAACTAAAAATATATAGAAAAAATTAGCTGGGCATGGTGGCGCATACCTGTAGTCCCAGCTACTCAGGAGGCTGAGGTAGGAGGATTGCCTGAGCCCAGGAGTTTGAGGTTGCTGTGAGCTAGGCTGACGCCATGGCACTCTAGCCCAGGCAACAGAGTGAGACTCTGTCTCAAAAAAAAAAAAAAAATTCCTCCTTGACCCAGTAATCGTTCAGCAGTAGGTTAATTTCTGTGACTTTGTATAGAGTTGAGTGTTCTGTTCGAATTGACTTCTACATTCATTCCACTGTGGTCTAAGAAGATATATAGTATAATTTCTATTTTTTTAAATTTGTTGAGGCATGTTTTGTGGCCTAGGATATTATTAGTCTTATGGAATGTTGCGTGAGCTAATGACACATCAATCATATATTCAGTAGTTTTGGGGTAAAATGTTCTGTAAATGTCTGTTAGGCCCATTTCTTCTAGAGTCATGTTTAAGTCCATTGTTTCTTTGTTTATTTTCTGTTTGGAGGATCTGTCTCATTCTGTCAGTGGGCTGTTGAAGTCCCTGGCTATTACAGTGCTACTGTTTATAATTTTGTTTAGATCAAGTAGGATTTGCTTTGAGAATCTGGGTGCACGTGTGTTAGGTGCATAGATATTTAGGATTAAGTCTTTTTGTTGAATTGTTCACCATTACATAATGACTGTCTTTGTCTTTCTTTACTTTTGTTGATTGAAGCCTATGTTATCTGATATGAGAATGGCTACATCAGCTTTCTTTAGGTTTCCATTTGCATGGAATATTGTTTTCCGTCCCTTCACTTTGAGTCTGAATGCACTTTGAGTCTGACCCTTGTGGGTCAGATGCATTTGCTGGAGACAGCAGGTACTTGGCTTGTATTTTCTTATCCATTCAGCCTGCCTATGTCTCTTGAGTGGGACGTTCAAGCCAATCACATTTATTGAAAGAAGTGATAAGTTAGGTGGATTTCTATTCATCTTGTAACATAGAACTTTATTGCTTTGTTTTACCTCTTGAGCCATTGTTGTATCTTGACTCTGAACTTTAGCTTTTGGATTATTTTACACTGGTGAGTGTTTATTGTGTTGATCAATGTATAATTTAGATCTGAGTACTTCCTGCAGGGCAGGTCTGGTCTTGACAAATTCCCTCAGAGTTTGCTTGTCTGAGAAAAGTCTTTATTTCTCCCTCATATAAGAAACTTAGTTTTGCAGGATACAAAATTCTAGGCTGGCCATTATTCTGTTTGAGAAGACTGAGAATGGGGCCCCAGTCCCTTGTGACTTGTAAGGTCTCAGTTGAGAAGTCTGCAGTTAGTCTGATGGGTTTTCCTTTGTAAGTTACTTTATGGTTCATAGGAGTTCCTGTTTAGTATTAACTCTGGCCAGTCTGATGACCATATGTCATGGTGATTGCCTCTTGAGATGAATTTCCCATGAGTCCATTGTACTTCTAGTACCTGGATGTCCAGATTTCTAGAAAGACCTGGGAAATTTTCCTGAAGTACTCCCTCAAATAGGTTTTCCATCTCTTATATATTTTCTTCTTCACCCTCAGGGATGTCTATAATTTCTTATGTTAGGCCTCTTTACATAATCCCATATTTCTTGTAGGCTTTGTTTGTTCCTCTTTGACTCACTTGTTTAATTCAAAGGTGTTGTCTTGTAGCTCTGAGATTCTTTCTGCCTGATCCAGCCTACTCTTAAGGCTTTCCACTGTGTTTTGTATTTCCTTGAATTAATTTTTCATTTCCAGAAGCTCTGCTTGATTTTTTTTAATAATTCAATTTCTTTAGTGAATTTTTCATTCATTTCTTGAATTGTTTTCATGGTTTTCTTGTGTTGGGTTTCTATTTTCTCTTTTATTTCATTGAGCTTCCTTACAATCCATATTCAAAATTCTTCATCAGTCATTTCAATAGTCTAGTTTGGGTTGGTTTGCATTGGTACAGAGTTATTGTTTTCTTTCAGGGGGAGGAGTGTCCTTTCACTCTGATTTTTCATGTATCCGGAGATCTTTCACTAATTCCTTCTCATCTGGAGCAGCTTTTGCTTCTTATTTTTAGATTTTCTTTTAATTAGATAATGACAAGCCCAGTTTAATCTCAGACAGTGGGTGGTATTTAATGGGTGAGACTCAACTACATCCTGTATGACTGACTCAGTAAATGCTGTAAAGGGAGTATAAATTGACTTCCCTGTCAATAGGTGGTACTTGCCAGAAGGAACAAGCTTCAGTGTTGTTTTGGGGTCCTGTGACTGACTCCAGTCCCTCCTGAGAAGCACTTGATTTCCCCAGGTGGTGTGTGGGGCCCTGGAGCTTCAGGTGATTCCTTTTTCTCTGCCACAGCAGAGGCGGATGGAGGAGTGTAGCTGGGCAGGGCTAGGTTGTGTGAGCTTGCCCTCAGGCTCCACCAAAGCTGACAAAATATCTGTTTCAGCAGGGGTCAAAGGGTCTGCTCCCAGTGTCCAGGCAAAGCTGCCAGGGAGGGGCTATAGTGGCCTCACTCAATCACAAATCTCCCCCCTCCTTGCCCCCAAGCAATGCAATTGAGACCTGGAGGTACAGGATCTGGCCTGTAGGCCTATCCTCAGGTCCCCAGAGATCAATTCCTGGCTGTGCCATGGAGAAGCATGCTGGTCCCGAGTTGCCCATGGGGTTCCCAAGCAGGTTCGATGTCTGTCTGCCTTGGGGCATGCCTGCACTGATGGAGTAGCTGGGCAAGTGGCACCAGGGAGGGCCAACAGGCAGGGAGCTCACAGACCAAGCACCCCTCAGTTTGCTGTAGGATCCCTAGAGAAAAAGACTGAGCCCCATTGTCCGTGGAATGAATTCTCAGCATGGTGGCACAGTTGTCTCTCAGCAGCCACAGGTGGGGGAGGGGAAGGAGAGGAGAAGCAATTCCTGAGAGCCCTGGCTCAGTCGTCTCTCAGCAGCCATGGGCAGGGCAGGGGAAGAGGAAGAAAAGAGTTGTGAGTGAAATAAAGCTAGCACTCTGATTGTCTCTGTCCCTCTCTCCAGAAGGCAGCTCACCCAGAATATCCAGACTCTGGGGTCATGCAGATCCTCTGGGACCCACTGGCCCCCTGTGGCTCCCAGTCTGGGCTAGAGTTGGAAAATGTTTGTGTGGGAACGAATGAGACAAAAAGCAAGGGGCTGAGGCCCCCTGGGAAGGACAAAGGCACAGGGTGGGTGGAGAAGCAATATGGCACCTGCCATCTCTGCTTGGGTCTGCAGTGATGAGAAGTGACCCTGAGGGTGCCAGCTGCCTGATAGTTTGTCCTCAAAAAGCTCCCAATTCACTGGTAGCAGCAGCTTTTGGGCTTGTGAGGGTAGAAGAGCTCTCCAGCAGCTCAGGACCCCCTGTCTGCCAGAGATAGAGGGTAGAGAGAAATAAGCCACTCCACCTGCCCTTCTCACTGGACTGCAAGCCTCTCGAGGGTTCATCTCTGCCAACATCCTGATCCTTCGTGTTCTGCTTCTAATTCTGGGGGCTTTCTTTCCATACACGAGGACTCAGGAACCTGCTTGAATCTTCATTGTGACTGCTCTGCTGGCTGCTCTGTTGGAGTTTCTCCAGGCACTGGCTCTGACCTATGGCTTGGATCTGTGGTTCCAATCCACTGGGCTCCAACCTATGGGATCCTCATGCCAAGCTTGCGGCAGTTTCTGAGAGCAGTGGCTCAGCAGCCCTGCTTAGCTGAGTTCCTCAGCTGAATCTCCTTCCTGAATCTCGAAGGAGGGCTGTCTTCTTTAACTCGGTTACCAAGGCTGTGATTATCCAGCTGTTTCCTCCTTCAGGATACATGGTCAGCACCAACTGCCTGTTGGAACAATGCTCACCTACATGGAGAGGTCTGGAGAAAGCTGCGCAGCAGGGAAGGAGGCAGTGGAGAGGGCTTGTTAAGTGAACAGTGGTTTTGTCTATAATATGTGCTGGAGGCCCCTGCTCTGTCTTGCCTTCACCAACAGTGTCTGGCTAGGGTAGGAGGGAAAGCTGAAACCCCCAGGAAGTGAACAATGGCTTTCTACCTGCATGAGGGAGCGGCTGGAAAGACAGTCCATGAGAGGATTGGCAGGGGGCAATCTCCATGGTCAGGATAGAGTCAGAGTCAGAAAGCATGCTGTGTGTACACACATGCTTACCTAGGCCTAGACTGTGTAGAAGAACACAGAAAACTAGTAAAGCATCACCTGTGGGAAGTGGAGCTGTGGAACTGGGTCTGGGGAAGAAGGGAGCTTTGAAAGAATAACTCCTTGGATAATTCAAACTCCTTATCATATCCATGAGACCCGCCCTCCATAAGTCTGTCCTGTCTGTCTCTCCAGCCTTGTCTCCCTCACTCTCCCTTCCTTTCACAGCACCTGGGCCAGTGGCCCCCTCAAGAGCCTCAGGCTTTGGTCCAGGCTCTTCTGTCTGGGGCAGGCCCTCTGTGTCAGGTTTTTACTCCTGTGAGTCCTAGACTGACATCATTTCCATCGGGATGTTTTTCAGATGACCTAATAGGCACTTTTAAAATATTTATAGAATGAATGTCTTTTACTTGTTTTGTTACAGACGTTGAGGATGCAGAAAATTGGTATGGAAAGCCAATGTCAAAAGAAAGAGCAGATGCAATTATCAAATTAATTGAGAGCCAGATACAGACCAACAGGAATCCTGTACCAAAACCCCCTATTGAAGATTCACCTCAAATCAGCATCATGGATATAGAAATGACCTCTCTACCTGCTTACAAAGTTGGTGACAAGGTAGGCAAAAAGGTAGATAATTGAATCATGTATATCAACTGCTTTGTTCTCTAATTTTGTTCCTAAATACACAGGATTCTTCATTTATTCTGATCTCCATGGATAAACAAATTACTAGACAGTGTGACATTTTTTATTTTGAGACAGAGTCTCACTCTGTTGCCCTGGCTAGAGTGCCGTGGCTCAGCCTCCTGAGTAGCTGGGACTAAAGGCATGCGCCACCATGCCCAGCTAATTTTATTTATATGTGTGTGTGTGTGTGTGTGTGTGTGTGTGTGTGTATATAATTGGCCAATTAATTTGTTTTTATTTTTAGTAGAGATGGGGTCTTGCTCTTGCTCAGGCTGGTTTCGAACTCCTGACCTTGAGCGATCCTCCCACCTCGGCCTCCTAGAGTCTAGGATTACAGGCATGAGCCACCGCACCCAGCCTAGACAGTATGACATTTAATTAGCAGTTATAAGCAATAAAGATGGGTTTACTATCTCTTTAAGTAGCTCCGATTTTTATTCTCTGCTTTCACACTTAGGTCTGAGTATTTTTATTGATCGGTTGCTATTTATTAGCACCTGGTGTTGTGTGTCTTTTTCTTGCTTCCTAACTTTGGTTTGTGAGCTGAAAGTCTGCTGTGCATGGAACTGCCACAATTCTGTGTCTGCTGTAAGGATGGTGGCCCTGGTGGGCTCATCTTTTGGACATACTCTGGATTACACAGGGCAGCAGGACAGTTCATCAAAACGAGTTCTGTGAAAATTATGCGTGAAACCCTGAAGATAAAGCCTTCTTGTTTTTTGTTTTTTTATCATTTTTATATTCTGCCTTCTGGTAGGATCTTCAGGATCTAGAGGAAATAGGGTGGCAAGCCTGAGAGGAAGAACATGTTTCTGACCCTTATTTGGAGAAATTTTGAGAGTTGCTTGTTTTCTTAGCCTGGTGATAAGGGTTAAAAATAAATGATATGGGGTAAGGCACAGTGGCTCAGGCCTATAATCATAGCCCTTTTGGAGGCTGAGGTGGAAGGATCACTTGAGGCCAGGAGTTCGAGACCAGCCTGGGCAATAGTGAGACCTCATCTCTACAAAAAAATTTCCTCCTTCAAAGGAAGGAGGAAAAGCGTGATCATATTTATACATGCTAAATAAAAGCAATTCATAAAATTCAACATTTCTGGTGGTTTTGTTTTGTTTTTTTAAAAAAACCTCTTAGTAAAACAAAGTGAGATTGGTAAGATACTTCCTCAATTTGATTCTAGATGTAGACATCTTAAATCTGGAGTCCCTTTTGCACCTATCAACCCTGCTCTGGAAGTGCTAGTCGTTGCAGTTAAGGAATAAAAGAATCAGTACCTATGCCGGGTGTGTTGACATGTGCTTGTTAGTCCCAGCTACTCAGGAGGCTGATACAGGAGGATCACTTGAACCCAAGAGTTTGAGGTTGCAGTGAGCTATGAGGATGCCACTATGTCTAGCTTGGGTGACAGTGAAACTCTATCTTAAAAAATAAAGTCAGTACCAATGAGACAGCAAGTCTATCATTACTTGCAGGTGATAGAATTGTATGTCTAGAAAACCCAAGAGCAGGGTTCCTCAAACTTTTTAAATAGGGGGCCAGTTCACAGTCCCTCAGGCCATTGGAGAGTACGCACTGTGGGCCCCGGACGAGTCAGCTGCTAAGCATGACAGGCAGTGGCAGCAAAAACACCCGGAGGGCCGGATAAATGTGCTAGGCGGCCCGTATGTGGCCCACAGGCTGTAGTTTGAGGATGCCTGCCCAAGAGAATCTATCAGAAATGGTTAGAAATAAGAACTGAGACCAGTAAGAGAGCTTGTAGCAAAACTAGTGTACAAGATCAATTCCTTTCTTATATTAAATAATTAGTAGGTATAATGGTAAGATATCCCTTTGATAATAGTAATAGGAATTAAAATATCTAAAAATAATTATATACAATCTATACTAAGATGCTTATACAACAAGAAGTCAAAAGAAGACTATATGTCTCATATGCAAGAGATGAGATGCTCACCAAGTATTAGGTTGGTGTGAAGGTAATTGTAGTTTCAGACCATGAATTTTAAATCATTACAACTAGGCTCAAATACATCTTTATTAATCAAAATAGGAAGCATTACAATCAACACATTTTTGTCAATGAGAAATAAGTTTGTTTATTCCTGTAGCATAAAAATCTATGCATTGGGATTTGATGAACTCTTGGAAAGCATTTTCTGCATCTTGCTGGTTATGGAAGCATTTTCCCTGCAAAAAGTTGTCACGATGCTTGAAGAAGTGGTAGTTGGTTGGTGAGAGGTCAGGTGAATATGGTGTCTGAGGCAAAACTTCGTAGCCCAATTTATTCAATATTGGTTGTGTGACATGTTGTCATGGATGAGAACTGGGCCCTTTCTGTTGACCAATGTCGGCTGTAGGCATTGCAGTTTTTGGTGCATCTCATCGATTTGCTGAGCATACTTCTCAGATGGAATGGTTTCACTGGGATTCAGAAAGCTGTAGTGGATCAGACTGACAGAAGACCACCAGTCACCATGACCTTTTTGTGGTGCAAGTTTGCCTTTGGGAATTGCTTTGGAGCTTCTTCTCAGTCCAGCCACTGAGCTGGTCATCGCTGGTTGTAGGTTATCGTAGAAAATCCACTTTTCGTCACACATCACAATCCAATGGAGAAAAGAAGTGGTTCATTGTTGCGTACAATAAGAGAAGACAACATTTCAAAACAACGATTTTTTTGATTTTCAGTCAGCTCATCAGGCACCCACATACCAAACTTCTTCAGCTTTCCAATTCGCTTCAAATGCTGAATGACCTGACTATAGAATGATCGACATTGAGTTTTTCAACAACTTCTTGTGTAGTTTTAAGAGGGTAAGCTTCCATGATTTGTCTCAATTGGTCATTGTCAATTTCCAATGGCTGGCCACTGCAAGCTCCTCATCTTTGAGGCTCTTGTCTCCTTTGCAAAAACTTCTTGAACTACCACTGCACTATACGTTCGTTAGCAGTTCCTGGGTCAAATGTGTTGTTGATGTTGTCAGTTCTCTCTGCTGCTTTATGACAAGAAAATCACTTGAGGGAAAGCCCTTTGGAGTGGCAGAGACAGAGACATGTCTTTTTGTGAGGTGCTGGGAGCACTTCCCCAGGGCTCTGGGCCAGGAAGATTGCGGTTAGGTGCCTCCTCACTTACCCCTCCAGGGCCCAGCCTAGCATGGGACTGCAGCAGCAGTGCGTACAAGAGCTGGAGTGAGAACTTGGCCAGGAGAGAAGTCAGTGGGTCCTTGGAAGCAGTGACGGAGTGGGCGGCTGGCCCACATCGAGAAGATAGCCCAGAGGTGGTGGAGTCCAATCCCTACAGGTGACCCTGTGTTGTGGATCAGAGGCCTTGAGATGGATGCACGAGGTTTCCATGCTGTCAAGAGTGAGGCACTCCCCACGTCCTACTCACACCAACTCCCACTACCCTTTTCCCAGTTTTGTAGGTTGGGGGATGTATCATGTTCCCATATGGTCAAGGACACGTCTTACTACTTATCAGAAAATGTTCTTTCTCTTTTTAAAAAACCCCAGGTGAGGCCAGGCGCGGTGGCTCACCCCTGTAATCCTAGCACTCTGGGAGGCCAAGGTGGGCGGATCGCTTGAGGTCAGGAGTTCAAAACCAGCCTGAGCAAGAGTGAGACCCTGGCTCTACTATAAATAGAAATAAATTAATTGGCCAACTAATATATATAGAGAAAAAATTAGCCGGTCATGGTGGCGCATGTTTGTAGTCCCAGCTACTCGGGAGGCTGAGGCAGAAGGATTGCTTGAGCCCAGGAGTTTGAGGTTGCTGTGAGCTAGGCTGATGCCATGGCACTCACTCTAGCCTGGGCAACAGTGAGACTCTGTCTCAAAAAAAAAAAAAAAAAAAACCCAAGTGAGTCAGGCATGTGGTGCTGCTCCTGTGTCTGCTGAGTGTCCAGTTTTCTGTCACCCTTCCCTCTATTACCCACCTTACTCTGCAAGAGAGTGATTAGTAAGAACTTTCAAAAGATGACATCAAATGTAAAACTGGCTAAGCAACTTTGAATTTCATAAAGGTTCCTCGGAGTATCTTAAATGGGGGTGCAGCAAGGGAGAGCAAGGTTAGCCCTAATCGGAGATATTAGGGTGCTCCTTAACATCTCAAATCATTCGACATTACCAGGCCTGGCTGCCCCTCTCCTTTCTCCTTTTCTAAGATGGCTTGTTGATTCAGGAGGCGGACTGCAGTGCAGTGGTTGAGGGTAAGGACTCTGGAGCTGGACTGATGGGATTCAAATCCCAAGTAAGCCTAGGCAAGTTCTGAACCTCTTTGCTTCAGTTTCTCACCTGTTAAATGGGGATAATAGTAATATCTAGCTCTGTCATAGTTGTGAAGATTGAAAAAGTTCTTGGAGTAGTGCTTTTACACAGTAAGGCTTGCACAGGGCCTTATTACTTAGCGTATTTAGCAGCAAGTAGTTACGGAGCTTCCACTATGTGCTAAGCACTTTACATGCATTGTCTCTTCTCACCACAACCCTGTGAGATTGCTACTGTTACTTTACCCCCATTTTATAGGTGACAAAATTAAGGCTGAGAGAGCCACTTTAGGTCATAAAAATAAGTAAATAATAAGGCCTGGACTTACCAGGTTTATCTTAATCCAAAATTCACACGGAACTGTCTCCCTAGTAAAAATAAATAAGCTATTAGGTAGTGTGGCCAAAACTGGATGGCATTAAAAAGTAGATGAAATAGGGAAGATGTTATTGTTTCTCTTTCCATTTAAAGACCATGAGAGGACAGGCGCAGTGGCTCACGCCTGTAATCCTAGCACTCTGGGAGGCTGAGGTGGGAGGATCACTCGAGGTCAGGAGTTCAAGACCAGCCTGAGCAAGAGCGAGACCCCGTTTCTACTAAAAATAGAAATTAGCCAGGCATGGTGGCTCATGCCTGTAGTCCCAGCTACTCGGGAGGCTGAGGCAGAAGGATTGCTTGAGCCCAGGAGTTTGAGGTTGCTGTGAGCTGGGCTGATGCCACAGCACTCTAGCCAGGTAACAGAGCAAGACTGTGTCTCAAAAAAAAAACAAAAACAACAAAAAAAAAACCGAGCATATTCCAGTATCAAATGGCAAATTTTAACAATGCTAAAACCGCAGTAACTTTTGCACCAACTTAATATTTGTGCATAGACTGTTTCTGAAAGATCGCTTCATAAACCTATTGTTGCTGTTTACCTCTGGGGAGGAGGGGAACTCGGTGGCTGGGAGAGTGGAGCAGGAGGAAAATGGCCTCTTCACTTGATAGCATTCTATTTATTTATTTTATTTTTTGGAGGCGAGGTCTCTGTTGCCATGGCTGGAATGCAGTGGCATGATCATAGCTCACTGCAGTCTTGAACTGTGCTCAAGAGATCCTTCTTAGCAGCTGGGACTACAAGTTTTCACCACTATGTCCAGCTAGTCCACCACTATTGCCCAGGCTGGTCTTGATCTCATGGCCTCAAATGATCCTCCTGCCTCGCCCTCCCAAAGTGCTGGGATTATTGGTGTGAACCACTGCACCCAGCTGTATTTTTTTTAGAGTGTTTGGATGAAAGAACAAAAACAAATGAAGAGGCAAAACCTTGTTTGCCTTTTTAACAGCTTTATACCCATTTAAAGTGTACAAATCAGTGGTTTTTGACAGAGTTGTGAAACCATCATCAAAGTCAATCTTACATTTCCATCGTCCCAAAAGAAACCCCATACCCATTAACAGTCACTCCCCATTCCCGACCTGTCAACCTGGTAACCACCAGCCTACTTTCTGTCTCTCTGGATTTGCCTGTTCTGAACATTTCACATAAATGAGGTCATGAGCCCAGGAGTTTGAGGTGCAGTGATCTTTTGTGTCTGACTTCTTTCCCTTAGCACAATGGTTTTAAGATTCATCTATATGTAGCGTGTACCAGTAACTCATTCCTTTTTGTAGTCGGGTAACATATTTTATAGATAGACTACATTTTGTTTATCCATTCACCTGTTGATAGACATTGGTTTGTTTCTACCTTTTGGCTATTGTGCATAATGCTGCTTTGAACATTTGTATACAAGTTTTTTTATAGATGTATGTTTTCTGTTGGGTATACACCTAGGGGTGGAATTGCTGGTTCATATGGTAATTCTGTGTTTAACAATTTGAGGGGCTGCCAAACCTTGTGGGGGTTTTTTGTTTTTTAGACAGGGTCTTGTTCTATCACCCACGCTAGAGTGCAGTGGTGTCACCATAGCTCACTGAAACCTCCCAACTCCGGGGCTCAAATAATCCTCATGCCTCAGCCTGCTGAGTAGCTGGGACTACAGGTGCATGCCAGCATGCCCAGCTAATTTTTCTACTTTTTGTAGAGATGGGGTCTTGCTCTTGCTCAGGCTGGTCTCAAACTCCTAGCCTCAAGCAGTCCTCATGCCTCAGCCTCCCAGAGTGCTAGGATTACAGGCGTGAGCTACTGCACCTGGCCCAAACTTTGTTTTTTAATAGAAAAAGTTAATATTGTAAAGATGTCAGTTCTTTCCTAAATTAATTTATAAATTCCGTCCAATGTCAAATAATATTCTAGTGGAATTCTCTTTTTTTTTTTTTGAGACAGAGTCTCACTCTGTTGCCCAGGCTAGAGTACTATGGTGTCAGCCTAGCTCACAGCAACCTCAAACTCCTGGGCTCTAGCATTCCTGCTGCCTCAGCCTCCCGAGTAGCTGGGACTACAAGCATGTGCCACCATGCCCGGCTAATTTTATATACATATATATATATATATATTTTTTTTTTAGTTGTCCAGCTAATTTCTTTCTATTTTTTTATTTCAGCATATTATGGGGGTCTTTCTAATTTTTTAGTATAGATAGGGTCTTGCTCTTGCTTAGGCTGGTCTCCAGTGCCTGAGCTCAAGCAGTCCTTCCACCTTGGCCTCCCAGAGTGCTAGGATTACAAGTGTGAGCCACCACGCCCAGCTCTAATGGAATTCTCTGTCATTGATGTCATGATTCTAAAGTTGTGTATTTTAATTTTTTGCAATGAGTGTTATTAGTTTTGTAATTAAAGAGCCACAGAGGCATTTGTATTTTGGAAAATAAATTTTAAAATTTTAAATAAACTATATGGATGAGACAGAATAAATTTAGATGAGGCAGATGTTTCAAATAAAATGCCATCAGTAAATTTTTAGACAGTAGACCGATTAATGTAACAAAGTAATTGGAAGAATACAATAAGGACTGTTAATATCTGAAATCTCACTGATAGGTTGTGGGGTGTTTTCCTGCTTGGGAAGTAGGAGTAGGAGGATGTTAACTAAAAAAAGCACAATTCGAGAAAAAGTTGGGTACGATGTCAGCCATATGTGAGACATATTTTTGAGAAGTTGATACCAGATGAGCCAAGTATGGGTTTAAAATTGGCTAGTAGTTCATGTTTATGACCCTAAAGGAAATTGCTGGTGAGTCACAATTTTACTTTTTTCATCAAGACAGATGACAATTTGTAATTCTACAAAATTATACCTTCCTTCTAAATGCATTCTAAGAAACTCTACCACTTGACTTTTTCTCTCTTCCAGATGGCTACTCTGAAAGCATGTGGTTTTGCTCTGGCCAAGCTGGGCCATGCAAATGACAGAGTCATTGTGCTGGATGGTGACACCAAGAACACTACCTTCTCTGAGATATTTAAGAAAGAGCACCCAGAGCGGTTCATTGAGTGTCTTATTGCTGAGCAAAACATGGTGAGTGTGTAGCATCTCTTTCTGGTCTTCTTGCCAACTTATCAGTGGCCCACAGGACACAGGAGGCCCACCCTGCGTTACAGTTTTTCTTTTCATTTATAAAAGCAAAGGGACTGGAAAAAGTCTCCAGGGAAACAGGAGGCAGGTCTGCTAGAAGGGGCATGGTAGACTTCTCAGCTCCCCCCAGGCAGGCTGGGAGCTGAAGTGTCTCAAGCTCCCTAGTGGTTCTTTCCATCCAGTCCAGCCCATAACTAGGCAACCTGACGACCACCCAGAGGCAAATAGGTTGAGGAGCCACAGGGAGTATGTTTTTCCTCTCTCCACTGTAAGGCCTAATACATCATCGAAATGAAAATGTCACACCAGTTGCAGTCTCAGGAATACCAGTAGTTAGAGTTGGCACCTTGCATAAAGCTGTTCTGCTTTTCTGTGCCTCAGTCTCACCTCAGAGTTGTATTAATGCAGGAAGTCACTAATGTGCATCCACACACATCCAGCCCTCAAGAGAGAAGGGAGTTAATGCAGGTAAACCCTTTGACCTCTAAAGCTCTGTGCCAGCAGGATGCCCACCTCCTGTCTTTATGTCACAGAGGCCAAAATAGCACTGGGTATACCTCAGTGGTTTTCTTCTGGCCAGAAAACCATAGGCCAGCAGGTGTCATGTGATCTGAGATATTAAGATTGGCTAGCAATCCTTGTTTATGATCCTACAATAAATTACTGGTAAGTCATAAATTTACTTTTTTCATCAAGACGGATGGCAGATTGTAGTTCTACAAAATTATACCTTCCTTCTAAATGCATTCTAAGAAACTCTGCCACTTGACTTTTTCTCTCTTCTAGGTGGCTACTTGGAAAGCATGTGGTTTTGCTTGCAATACTTTACTTTCTAGCAATATTTTATTTGGAACAAGTAGTATTTAAAATCTTTTAAAAATTAGTTCAGCAATTCTTGAGTGGGAAGAGAGCTGAAGCCCCACTCAAGGCTCTGCCATTTGGGATAGAGCAGCACCTTCCTGTTCCTGTGTCTTTCCAGTCTGTATGTTAATCCATAGTGTTCTGAAAACAACAGAAAGGTCACATAAATCTGAAGTTGTTTTTAAAGGTTTTCATTTTAATTAAAGATATCTTTTCTAATTCATTGTTGTTTGCTGTTTTCCTGAATTCCTATTCTGTCCTGCAAATCCCTGTTTGTCTAATCACTGGTCCCAATACTTTGATTAATATGTATTGTATTAGCATTAATTTAAACATTTTTAAATTTGTATACACAGAAAGTGGCAAATTACTGCATATGTGAAGAATGTGATAAATAAATATATTTGAAAAAAATTAGTTTAGCATTTAAAAATTAGGACATTCATATAGAATCCAAATTTCTGGATTGTCTTGAAAAATGGGAAGAACTGCCACTGCAGGCTGGAATTGCCTCCTAATGCTGGTTGACTGGAGTCAAGCAGCAACCCTGCCTAGATGGGCACTCACAGCCGGTGCCCTGTTGTCCTCACACTGTGCTAGCCCACTTGTTCCTTTACGATGCTTCTTGGGCCCCGTTGGTGTTGAGATTTAAGCACCCCTGTTCAGTAAAGTGGGTCATCACGGTTGTAAGATATGTTTTTCCGTGGTTTTCATTTCATTTGTTTTTTTTTCTAAGACTTAAGTTTTATTTAAATAGCATCCAGTGAGAATAGAATGGGCCAATTACTACCCTTTCCTTGTAACACCAATTAACCAAGCCAGGAAGACTAAGGGCACCCTGTAGCCAGCCAGTCACATGATGGGTGGAATGCCTCTCAAAGTGGATGGCCACGACCTTGGCCCCAGCTAGCTGCTGTGGGAGCATCCACAGTCGAGCGGGGGTTCTTAATGGTTTCATCTACAGACACAATAAGGCACGCCAGCCTCTGAGGCTGGTGTCAGGGCATTTGATCCGCACCATAGCTGGCTCCCACATGAAGGCCTGAAAGTTGTCAGCAATATCCTTGTTGATTGATGTCCACCCCATACCATGTGCCCCCCTGGGCATGCCGAGCCCACAGCTTGTCGAGGATGTTTGTGGCATCAAAGCCAGCATTATCACACAGCTAGTGTGGGATAATCTCCAAGGCCTTGACATATACCCCAATCAACAGCTGCTGCTTTCCAGGAATAGTCCCTGAGTAATCTTGCAGGTACTTGGAGAGCTCCATCTCAGTGGCCCCGCCACCAGCCACCACTGAATCATTCTTGATGGCCCTTTTGATGATCATGATGACATGATGCAGGGATCGTTCTATTTCCTCCACAAACTGCTCAGCACCGCCAAGGTGGATGAAGGTGCATGTCTTGGCCTTGGGGCAACCAGTGAAAAAATTGTACCTTTTTCTGCCAATCTGGGTCTCTCCAAACACCTGTCAGCAACCCAGCACATCTGTTGACAGAGCATTGACACTGGTCTGGATTGAGCCTCCACAGGCCATCATTGTCCTCTTCAGATCATCCTCAGGTACTCAGCCAGCACAGAACATGTCCCTGTCAGCAAAGTACTGGGTGGCCACATCTCCAGTGGGGAGTTTGGACAAGATGACTTTGGCTCCAGAATGATAGATCCTCTCTAACTTGTCATAGAGAATGTTCCACTCAGCATCAACAATTGCCTGATAATCCTCAACTGTGTGGACTCTGATCTTGGCATTGTCTTTCTCAGCTTTCAACTCGAGCTCAACATTTAAAAGGGCAGTCATGGGATTATTGTACTTTCTGGGTTGCATTTCAAACCCAGCATAAGAGAAAGTCTTCTTAAATGCAACACCAGCTACCAGCTGAGAATCCTCTAGGGCATGAGAGCTGGCAGGATGCCCAGGGGTTGATGTAAGGGCAGGAGCCAAGGTTGGTACTTGGTGTGGGCCAGGATGCCTGAGTAAGGTTGGCCTCACCTCTTGAGATTGAGAAGACTGGGGGGGAGGAGTGGGTTTGGGAGAACCATCAGGAGCTCTGTTTGGACCCAGAGGGTCAGAGTACCTGCTAGGTGTGCAAAGGGGGAGGGTACAGTGCTATCAGGTAAGTCAGGCAGAGATCAGTTGTCCTCAAGTGTGTCTGCTCTCCAAGACACTGAATGTTTTTCTAAGCTACATAACCTTTTGCCTAGTTTTAAGCTAATATATAAATTTTGTTTTTAATTTTTTTGTTTTAGAGACAGGGTTTAGCTTTTGTCACCCAGGCTGGAGCACAGTGATGCAATCATAGCTCACTGTAGCCTCAAACTCCTGGACTCAGACAATCCTCCTGCCTCAGCCTCTGGAGTAGCTGGGACTGCAGGCATGCACTACCATGCCCAGCTAATTTTTAAAATTTTTTTGTAGATATATGGTCTCATTACATTACCCAGGCTGGTCTGGAACTCCTGGCCTCAAGCAATCCTCTCACCTTGGCCTCCCTAAGTGCTAGGATTACAGGCATGAGACATCATACCCAGCCCCTAACATCTAAATTTTTTTTAATTTTTTTAAGAAACAGCATCTTGCTCTGTCATCTTGGGCCAGAGCGCAGTGGTGCAATCACAGCTCATTGTAGCCTCAAACTCCTGAGCTCAAGCAATCCTCCAGCCTCAGCCTCCCAAGTGACTAGGACTACAGGCATGCACTACCACGCCTGGCCTATTTTTATTTGTTTATTTGTCCTGGCCTATTTTTATTTGTCTTGGCCAGGCGTGATGGCTCACGCCTGTAATCCTAGCACTCTGGGGAGGCCGAGGTGGGTGGATTGCTCAAGGTCAGGAGTTCAAAACCAGCCTGAACAAGGGCGAGACCCCTTCTCTACTAAAAAATAAAAAGAAATTAATTGGCCAACTAAAAGTATATAGAAAAAAAATTAGCTGGGCATGGTGGTGCAGGCCTGTAATTCCAGCTACTTGGGAGACTGAGGCAGCAGGATTGCTTGAGCCCAGGAGTTTGAGGTTGCTATGAGCTAGCCTGAGGCCACAGCACTCTAGCCAGGGCAACAGAGTGAGACTCTGTCTCAAAAAAACAATAAAAGACCAGGTCTTGCTATGTTGCCCAGGTTGGTCTTGAACTCCTAACTTAGAGTGATCCTCCCGCCTCAGCCTCTCAAAGTGCTGGGATTATAGGCATATACCACCACGCACAGCCAATTTTTGATATTTTATATTAATACTCAAATAATTCAGTTAAAGATTATGCTAAGACTCTTCTTTTGTCATAAATTAAATCCCCTTTTCTACTTCAATTCTTATTTCCATTCCATTTCCCCAATATATCTTTTTTTTTATTTTGTTTTTGAGACAGAGTCTCGCCTTGTTGCCCAGGCTAGAGTGAGTGCCATGGCATCAGCCTAGCTCACAGCAACCTCAAACTTCTGGGCTCAAGAGATCCTACTGCCTCAGCCTCCCAAGTAGCTGGAACTACAGGCATGCGCCACCATGCCCAGCTGATTTTTTTCTATATATATTAGTTGGGCAATTAATTTCTTTCTATTTATAGTAGAGACAGGGTCTCGCTCTTGCTCAGGCTGGTTTTGAACTCCTGACCTTGAGCGATCCACCCGCCTCGGCCTCCCAGAGTGCTAGGATTACAGGCATGAGCCACTGCGCCCGGCCTCCCCAATATATCTTTATACATGAAAGTGTTTTATCAATTGTCTGATCATTCTTCTATGCAGCAAAAATATGCATGTAAATTGATAGCTTTTTTCTTATATCCATAGTCCTCTGAGCATTAGAATTTTTGTCTTATTGTTATGGCTATTATTATTAGTTGATATATCAATGGATAAACTTGTAATTTGAATGTGATAAGATTCAAAACAGATTCTTTTCCTGTTTTTCATTTTAACAGTGTAATTGCTAAGAAAACTTATTCACGTAATAAATCTATGGGAACAGAAATTTTGTTGTAGGAATCTCACTCAATTCTTTGAATTCCTTTGCATTTATAAGCCAAAAATCGCAGTGATTTTTCCTTTAAAGTTGGTTATAAAAATTATTTGTAGACAGTTTCATTAGGTTCTCTTTTCAATTTTGTTGAAAGAATTGGGAACCACCTGACTTGGAAAAGTAACTGTCATCTGATCATTTAACCTCTTCACTTTCTCAGTATCAACATGATTATTTCAAATTGTCTTCTTTAGTTCAATGTGGAGGTTTTGCATTCAGGGATGTTGCCCCACTGTGAGAGTGGGGTGGGCGAGAGAGTGCCTTTGGAAGTTAGTTTGCTGGAGGTGACTGTTAGGGAGACAGTGGGAAGGAGCACAGGCCTTCTCTGGGGCAGATGAATGCAAAACCAAGTTAATATGGATGGGGGGGTCTTGACTTTGAAATCATTCATGGCCACATCCCCCTTGGAAAGTCTTGGTTTATACCTGAAGAGGCTTATGCTCTGGTTTAAAACCTGCTGGGGTATATGAGCCTGGAGTTGTAGCAGAAGGTAAGAAATAGAGATATAAAGTGGGAGGCATGACCAGAATGCAGATCAGAGTAGCGTTGGGCTAGATTTGACTTCCCAGAGCCAGAGGGCAAATGGGAAAGAGTGTAAGCATGGATCCCTGAGGGCCCACCCCAAAGGCCTGTTGGGAAGAGGCATATAGTTGAACAAATCCAATGAGACAGCAGGTCTAGACTGTTGCAATGTCATGGAAACCTGGAGAAGCAGATGCCTTGAGAAAAAGGTGAATTATTGTGCTTACTGCTGCTGAGAGGTCAAATAAGATGCCAGCTGAGGTCAAGTAACCTCTTGCGCTTGGCAACTTTGAGGTCTGTCATGGGGTGGCAGCCTAGATGAAGTAGGCTGGGGAGAGAGTCAAGGATGAGAAAGCAGGGACAATGACTGTAGACAACTTAACAGGAAATTTTCTGTCAAGGAGAATGTAGATGTGGGGCAGTCTCTAGAAGAAGGATAAGGCAGAGATGGGAGAATGAAGATGAAAGGTACTGGCGTGTATTTAAATGGTAACAGAATGATCCAAGAGAAAGGGAGAAACCAAGTTAATACAAGAGGGAAAGGGGGGAACTACATGATTGGAGATAACTTTGAGAAAGTAAGAGAGGGATGAGATTCAGGATGGTCAGTGGGCACATTGGGCTTAGGGAGGGCGGGTCAGGAGAGGACAGAGGCAGATGGGAGAAACTCCATCCCTAGGAGATATGAGGTGAGGGTACCATCTCAGCAGGAGGGGGCAGGAAGGGGTACAGAGGGTTTGAGAAAAGATAATGGCAGGGAGGCACACTGGAACTGCAGAGCAGTGTGGCATGTGCAGAGCAGGGGTTATTATCATGGGGACTGTATGATCTAAACCAGGGGTTGAGCAGGGACCAGAGGTTTTCTGATTCGTGTTCTTTGTGTTACAGGTGAGTGTGGCACTGGGCTGTGCCACCCGTGGTCGGACCATTGCTTTTGCTAGCACCTTTGGTGCCTTTTTGACCCGAGCATTTGATCAGATCCGGATGGGAGTCATCTCTCAAACCAACATCAACCTCATTGGCTCCCACTGTGGAGTATCTGTCGGTAGGAGCTCTGTGCCTCCCTTTGCAGTCACTGAGAAACAGTCTGTTTCTGAGCATCCTTATGTGTTGGGCCATGTACCGGGGGTAATGAGGGCAGTAGCCCCTCCAGCCCTCACTTTGGTCGCAGTCTAACTGGGAGTGAGCAGCATGGGCAGAGGGAAGAAAGGAGGATTCTGGCTGGTGTGAGACCTGCTCGGATGGCATGGGGACAAGGGTGACCGCCAGCGCCTTCCTGCTTTTGGCAGTGGGAACCCTTGAGGAACATGATGCAAGGGAAGTAAGGCCAACAACAGCACTGTTCTAGGAATGTTAACCTGATGGGGCGGGCTAGGCGAGAATAGGGAGGCCAGGGAGGGGATTAAAACAAGGTGTGTGACAGCAGCAGGGTAGAAAGTCCAGGGTGGACCAGAGAGAGTCTGAAGGAAGAAGTGAATGTTGCTAACAGATGGAGGGGCCTGAAAAGCCAAAAACAGGTCTCAGGGGTTTTCTCAACTGGGAAATGTCAGGGAGTTGCGTTCATGAGTGACAGCAGTGAGGACGGGAATGAAGAGCTGTCTGGTGGGCCTGTGGTAGGCAGATCAGCTGGGTAGACATGGCAGCTTACGCTTGCTGCTGGAATGCTACAGGTACACATGAGGGAGCCACCTGAGTGACTCCCTGGGAGAATTAGGCTGGACAAGATGGCTCTCCATGGCACTGGGAGTCATGGCCATCTGGGTAAAGCTGAAGGCACCCAAAGGGGTGTCATGTTCAGCTACTTTGAAGGCCTAGAGAAAGGAAGAGACAACTTGGATCTCCATCTCTTGATGGAGAGCAGAGAAAGAAGGCCAAAGCCTGAGTGGACCCTCCAAAGGAGGGCAAGATCAGCAGCTCAGCAGGCCACCAGTGCTCAGTGAACTTGGATAGGAGCACTGAGGGATCTGAAAGGTCAATTAGCCTAACCTGAGGTGTTATAGTATGATCTCAAGGGAAGTAGGCCTGTGAAAGCTCAATATAAATTATAACCAGTTAAATCGACATCATAATTGGACCATATTGGAGGATTTTGCTGTGGTTTGGGACACCCACAGCAATAAGAGTTATTGTTTCTCAAGAGTGAGTGGGAGGTAGAGGGCAGGTTCCTGCTGGGGTTATGCTCATGTTTTGTTGGGCTGTGGCTTTCTCAGGTGAAGACAGCCCCTCCCAAATGGCACTGGAGGATATGGCCATGTTCCGAGCCATTCCCGACTGCATTGTTTTCTATCCAAGTGATGCTGTCTCGATGGAGCACGCTCTTTATCTGGCGGCCAATGCCAAGGTATTTTTAAGGGGACACTGGTTCAGACAGAAAATGCTTCTGGACTCTGATACTAAGCAATAATTGGATTTTTTTTTCTTAGCACAAATTTACAAAAGTAAATTCATTATAGAAAATTTGGCATTAGGATTCTTATTAAAAATGCAACCATTGCAAAAACAGGTAATTATGCACACAAACACATTTGCTTTGTATCAAGCAGTCCTTTCAAGCAGAAGGATACTGAACAAAACTGACTGCCTGTATCTGGGCTCATCATAAGAAACAGGGACCACTCTGAGTATTCTAAACAAGAAGAGGTTTAACAAAGGTTGCTTATGAAGTCACAGCAGTGGGCTTCAGGCAGGATCCCAGACTATAAAGTGTTAACCCACCAGTGGAACAGCCAACTCTGAGGCCACTACTGGGCCTATTGGACTTAAGCCACACCCTGGTTGCTGCAGTCGGGGATAAAGAGGCCACTATTGCCACTGCCTTTTGACATCCAGGGAGATGGAGAGTGGGTGGCAGGACGCTACTGCAGACAAAGCCCAGGCCTGGGCCCTAGCTCACCTGAGAAACAGCTGAGAAGGGCAAGAGTGTGGCCTCACCCTCGCTTTTACTCCTGAGATCTCATGCAAGGGCATCAGAGAGACAGAATTAAGTTCCTATCCAGAAACTAGCTGCAGGGGACAAGCGAGCGTAGTCTTTATCTTTCCAGCCTCTCCAGCTAACGTTTACCACGCCGCCCTTGCCACCCCTGTGCCTCACCCATGCCCTTGTGCAGGTAACTCTGGGTACAGTTGGAGCACATCTTGTAAGTTCCCAATCTAAGCATTTGCAACACATATGGACAGATGTTTCTTTGATTCGTTTTATAAGTAGGTTCAAACTACTCATTCTGTATTTGCTTTTTTACTTACTATGTCTTGGAGTTTATTCTGTTCTATGATTTCATATGCCATAGGATTTCATTTCTAGAAAGGTCAAAGGAGGCAGATAAAGACTATGATATAGAAATGAGAGTACAGATTGCTTCTTAAGGGTGGCAAATGACTTCTGGGCTTGGGTGATGATAACGTGGTGATGCCTTTGTCAGAGTTTATGAAGTGCTACACATAGGACCTGAATATTCATTTATACTAAGTGTTCTTGTTCAAGTTGATAACAAAAATGTATTTACATCTTCTCATTGGGAAAAGGATGAGTCATTTCATACTCAGATATTTAACATCTTTCTAAAGATAAAGCATTACAGGGTATTGTGGTAAACATTAATTTTTAAACATTTTGTTCTGGGCTTTCTAGTCAACATGAGTCAGTGCTCCTGCCCTGAGTTTGTGACCTGTGGAGACAGAACAGGTCGGTGTGTACATGGGAAGTTTTTCCCAGTAGTATGGCCAGCTTAGCACCAAGGCCATCTGCTGGGGTCCTGCTTGCGCTTTGCATGACATGATCAGATGACACTTGACCTGTTTGCCGGTGGTTGTAGATGTTTGGCCTTTGCTCCAAGGTGTACACTTTGGTTTTTTGTTTGTTTTTTGAGACAGTCTCACTCTGTTGCCCAGGCTAGAGTGCCATCGTATCGGCCTAGCTCACAGCAACCTCAAACTCCTGGGCTTAAGTTATTCTCCTGCCTCAGCCTCCTGAGTAGCTAGGACTACAGGCATGTGCCGCCATGCCTAGCCAATTTTTTCTGTATATTTTTAGTTGTCCGGCTAATTTATTTCTATTTATAGTAGAGACGGGGTCTCGCTCCTGCTCTGGCTGGTTTCGAACTCCTAACCTTGAGTGATCCTCCTGCCTCGGCCTCCCAGAGTGCTAGGATTACATGCGGAAGCCACCACGCCCGCCCTACACTTTGTTTTTAGTAAAAAGAACTATTCAGTCTGCCTTTCCACTTGTTTTAAGATCCTTTAGTTGGAAATTTATAGTTTGATTTTTCTAAATCATGGCTCTGGTTTTCATTTATAACCCTAGGGAATGTGCTTCATTCGAACCACCCGACCAGAGACTGCCGTTATTTACACCCCACAAGAAACCTTTGAGATCGGACAGGCCAAGGTAAGGGCTTCAGTTCTCCAGTGTTGTTCAGCATCATTTCATGTTAACAGAACTGTTCCAAATATTGCAGTGTAGGTATCTCCACAGTCAAGGTGTCATCCATTCTTTGTACTACTTTTTAAAAAAGTAAAATAAACTGTGACCTTTACCTGCTTTTCCTCAGGAAGGAACATTCTACCAATTTCATCTTGGCCTGAATTTTTCTCCTTTCCAAATGGAATCGCTTTTTGTTGAACTCTTAAAGATAAACAACATGAAGCCACTTGAGTGTCTTGGCTGTAATGTATCACAGCTGTTTTCAATGAGTAATAGATCTGTTAGGTTTAGATTTTACATATCCAAGGCCAGGCAGAAAAGGGAACATGGACCATCTTTCTACTGGAAATTCTGTGGCCCTGAGGTTGGTCTTGCACATAGGATATAGAGTCGCCTACAGGCCTGCTGATAAAGGTTGGCATTGCTGGGCATTTCCAAGCTTTGGTGAGAAGCTTAGATTATCAGCCCTGCCTATAGGTGTGGATCAGAGAAGGTAAGCAACTCGCTCAAGGGTTTACAGCTTAAGAGCACCAAAACCTGGATTCAGGCCCAGGTAGTGAGCCCAGCCTCACTGGGCATGCCCACCAAACTGTCCACCTTCTGCTCTCCCTGCCTGTCAGGGCTGTGTGTAGGGAAAACCAGAAAAGTCTATGAAGAAAATAAATGAAGGCCGGGCGCGGTGGCTCACGCATGTAATCCTAACACTCTGGGATGCCTAGGCGGGCAGATTGCTCGAGGTCAGAAGTTCGAGACCAGCCTGAGCAAGAGCGAGACCCCCATCTCTACTATAAATAGAAACAAATTAATTGGCCAACTAATATATATAGAAAAAATTATCCAGGCATGGTGGCACATGCTTGTAGTCCCAGCTACTTGGAAGGCTGAGGCAGAAGGGTTGCTTGAGCCCAGGAGTTTGAGGTTGCTGTGAGCTAGGCTGACGCCACAGCACTCACTCTAGCCTGAGCAATAAAGTGAGATTCTGTCTCAAAAAAAAGAAAATAAATAACTACTTGCCACCTAGAGAATGGGACTTACAGACATTTTGGCATATTTTCCCTCCTGCCTTTTCCTAGGCATATATGTATATTTTATACAGTTGGGATCATAGTGTGTAGAAAAGTGTTAAGTCCTGCTTTTATCTTAAAAGTATTTTATAATGCCATTAATATTCTCCTTAAATATGTGAAATACCTATACCTACTCTTGAAGGAGCCAGCAGTCAACATCCAACTTGATTGCTAAGGGCTAGGCTGCTCCAGAATTCATAGTTACTAGTGGCTCTGAATGGCTGTAGTGCCACAAAAAAGGTATTTTCCGGAACTGTCCACTGTGTGCCATTAGGTAACTAGAAAATAACACTGAATGCAAAAGCTTTAGTATTCACTTTTAGTGTTAACTACCAGTTCTATTTCTGTGGGGAGAGTATCTTGACATTTATGTGGTTTGCAGAGCTTTCTCATTTCTCTCCTGTCTTCTTTTTCTTTATATTTTCCTTGTCCTGAAAAAAGAAGTAAATTTCATGATGGTGTCGAGGATGTGAGTTCCAATGTGTGTGATAATGTGCATGGCATGGATAATTAAGGACTGGGTTTTGCAAAGGGGACATAGATGTGTGTGTATGTATATATGCATTTACATATATTTTTTTTTTTGAGACAGAGTCTCACTCTGTTGCCCGCGCTAGAGTGCCGTGACGTCAGCCTCGCTCACAGCAACCTCAAACTCCTGTGCTCAAGCAACCCTTCTGCCTCAGCCTCCTGAATTGCTGGGACTACAGGCACATACTAATTTTTATATATTTTTTTTAATTGGCCAGTTAATTTCTTTCTATTTCTAGTAGAGATGGGGTCTTGCTCTTGCTCAGGCTGGGTTCAAACTCCTGACCTTGAGTGACCCGCCCACCTCGGCCTCCCAGAGAGCTAGGATTACAGGCATGAGCCGCCACCCCTGGCCTACATATATTTTTAAAGGCTAGGACATCCTCAAAGAATGGAGAGGCTTAGAAACCCTGCCCGTTTATACTACCGTGTTTTCCTGAAAATAAGACAGGGTCTTATGTTTATTTTTCCTCAAGAAGACACCCTAGGGCTTATTTTCAGGGGATGTGTTATTTTTTTTAAGTACGGTACAACAATCTACATTTATTCAAATATAATTAAGTTGTTATCTTCTGGAACATCATCATAGTAAAATGGCAGCCACAGCTTTCCTTCTCCCCCCTGGGGACACACAATACCTAAAGTAGAGCGTCCTGCTCTTCACTTCACTGAGGAGACTTTCCCCTCAAAGCCTCAGCTTGCAGCATGCAAAGGATGGCCGGGACCTGACAGGGGGAGCCAACCTTGTTGGTGGGGCTGCCCGCACCTTTCTGGTCACTTCTGGGATAGTAGCTGTCACAATGGGGCAGATGAGAAGGGCTGCTCGTCTTCTTTACCGCTCCACCACGAAATACATAGGTTGTGCAGATACGCTGTGTAGCCACGCCCATCACTAGGTCTTATTTTCGGGGTAGGGCTTATATTGCGCAAATGCTTAGAAATCCTGCCAGGGCTTATTTTATGGGTAGGTCTTATTTTCGGGGAAACACGGTATCAGCAATGGTTCTTAAGCTACAGGGAAACCTACTGAGAGAGATGAAATGAAGCCTAATTCCACATGCCTTCAGGGTGGCTTTGTAGACAACAAAACTGCATGAAATAAGCCTTGGAACTGTCTTTGTTTGCGGAATACTAAATTGTTGAGAGCATGGGCTTTGACATCAGCCCCGCCTGGCTGCGGGTCTCAGCCCTGTCCCGGGCCAGTTCCTCCTGCTCTGAGATTCACTTTTCTCAGCTACAGGATGGTCCCACTACTGATAGATTTTACAGGGAAGACTGTAAGGGTTCTCAGAGGTTAGGCATGCAAGATGCTTAGCACACAGCATGCTGCAAATGCCCAGCACGTTCTCCATTAACTTGTTAGTCATTGGAGTCCCAAACTGTGTGCATATCACAGTAAGCTCTCAAACCAGTCCAGAGACTGTACATTTCCAAGACCCCTTGTTGGGTGTGAGGCTGGGTACTTATCTGTGCTTCAGTGGTGTTAGCCTAGCTCACAGCAACCTCACACTCCTGAGCTCAAGTAATCCTCCTACCTCAGTCTCCTGAGTAGCTGGGACTACAGGCATGTGCCACCATGCCCGGCTAATTTTTTTTTTTTTTCTATTTTTGGTAAAGACAGGGTCTCACTCTTGCTTAGGCTCATCTTGAACTCCTGAGCTCAAATGTTCCCCTGCCTCAGCCTCCCAGAGTGCTAGGATTACAGACGTGAGCCACCGCACCTGGCCTGGCATGGTTTTTTTAATAGTGAATTATTAAGGGGTGAAATTGTTAGGATTGGAGAAGAGGAGCATAGCAGAGCACCATGCCCCCTACTTTGAGATGCGCTCTGTATGAAGCAGTAGTAACCACAGCATTTTGTTTTGTTGGTGCTATGCCAGGTCATCCGCCACAGTGACAGTGACAAAGTTACAGTTATTGGAGCTGGAGTTACTCTGCACGAAGCCTTAGCAGCTGCTGATGATCTTTCTAAACAAGGTGAGTTGGTTATGCCTGAACATTAAAATTCAAGAAGTTTGCATCGTATACCAAGCTAGTTATTGCTGTTCTCCAGATATTTCAATCCGTGTCATCGACCTGTTTACCATCAAACCCCTGGACGCTGCCACCATCATTTCCAGTGCAAAAGCTACAGGCGGCCGGGTCATCACAGTGGAGGATCATTACCCAGAAGGTGTGTGTGGGCATTAGGAATGGTGTTTCCCTTGATTAGAGATGTGCCCTGCTCTCTTGGGCATCACCTGTGGCAGCCCTACCCCTCAGGCAGGATACCTTCATTATTGCTTTCTGCAGGAGTAGCAATCTGGGGGTCTCTCTTCACCCGCCTGAACTGGTTCCCTAAATGTGGAGCCGTGCTCATATGCATTTGTGTGTCCCCAGCAGACTGCACAGTGCCTGGTCACCAAGGGGGTCAGTGGCAACACAGAGGAGTAGCTAAGTCAACATTGTGGGTAGGAAGGAGTCATGAAAAGCTTTACAATTTGAGTTTTGAATGATTAATAGTTTGCCCCCACTAAAAAAGTGGGAATAGTGCCTTGCAATGTAAGCAGAGAACACAGCAAACACAGAAAAGGAGTATGCCAGTGAGAGGGAGCTGGGTGATGTTTAGGCCTGGGAAAGTTAAGGAGGGCAGACAATGTGATGCAGTGAAGAACTTCATCATGTGTCAGGGGCCCCAGGACCGCACTCACAGTGTGTGATTCTCTGGAAGGACTCACAGGACCTGGCACACAGTCACTCCACAGCTAAGGTTGATCACAGAGAAAGGGCATGTGGCAGGACCTGTCAGGGGAGGAGCCATGGGTGGAGTTTGGAGAAGCCCTGCCTTAGGTTTCCCCCCTTCCCCCTTCCGCATGAGGGGCACAACAAAACACATCCCACGTGGACTGTGTTTCTGCCCAGGGATGCCCACTAGACACTCAGCACCCCAGGTTTTTATCAGGGTCTGGTCATGTTGGCAGCTTCAGCCAGGCATGTACCAAAAATTCCCAGCTCCCAGCAAGAAAGCAGGTGCTTGGCATAAACCACATTGTTTGTACAAACATTCCAGGTGCGGGGCCCGCCCTCATCAGTAGGGAAAGTGTCACAGCAGTGGAGGGAACTTGCACCAGCCAAGGACCAACCTTACGAGCCAGCAGCCTCAGGCCTGCTGGTGACTCTCTTCTGTACAGTTAATTTGTTTGTTTTAACACATTAATTGCCATGTAAGTTGTATTTAACATGCTAGTTTTGAGTGTGGGGCCTCGTGAAGTATATGTAACTCACACATCTCTTCACCTTAGGAACCTCCAGAACTATTTTTCAAGTTGCATATAACTCAACACACAGAAAACTAAAAAATAACAAATGTTTTCATTAAAGTAGAAAGGATCGTTTTGTTTTCAAAGTTTTTATTCTCTTTTCATAATAAAACACCGTGGCCCCAAGGAAAAAATTTTTTCCTAGTATGGCAGTCAGTGTGTTAATCGTTTTCAGATCCCTGACAGCCTTGAGAATCTGAACTCCCCATCCATGAAGCCCAGGTTGAGAGCATTGCCTGCTGTAGGTGGGAGTGGGAGCAATTTGGAGACTTGCACTTTAGCATAAGAACTCCTTGGGCCAGTCTGAGAATGACTGTTTACGTGAATCAATGACTAGTGAAAAAATTTTCCCCTGGGTACCAGCAAATTCAAAAGCCTCTATATGATGGAGCTTTAAGGCTAACTAGCTACTTCCAGAAAAGATCCCAGTGTCTCTTGCTTCCCCAGGCGGCATTGGGGAAGCTGTCTGTGCGGCCATCTCCATGGAGCCTGACATCCTGGTTCATCAGCTAGCGGTGTCGGGAGTGCCTCGGAATGGGAAGCCGGATGAGCTGCTGGATATGTTTGGGATCAGTGCCAGACACATTATTGCGGCCGTGAAATGCATTTCAGTGAATTAAAATGTTTACCTTACATCTATGCTTGTTCCAAAACCATCATTTTAAAACACATACTGTTTTGTTCTTTTTAAAAGCAAAGCCAGGTAACACCCTTCTTCATTCCTAATTCAGAAATTCAAGTTAACTATTTTTCTTTTAAACTATAACTGCATATACAAGTGTTATCTTTTTTTATCATTAGAGTGAGTAATAAGATTTTAAGTGACAAAATAGGTAACAAAGCAACCACCTGATACTAAATTTTCTGACAAGACTACAGATGACTGGGCTAAGGATCAATGTAGAGTACCAGTTTCTTAAATGTGTGTTTCCCTTGCAAGCAGAGACAACGTAACTTTTATAGTGCTATAGCGCCATGATACATACTGCTGTTCCCAGTTTGAGATTCCATGCTCTGCCTTCCTACCTGCAGTTTCCTGGGTAACGTGTGACTGCAGTTGCCCTGTAATTTTATTCGATGTTTGGCCTCATCTCCCCTCCACAATTCGGAGGCTGTGAAGCAGCAGCAAAAGCTGTTAGCATGTCATGTGCTGCTTGTGGTGACCATTCTGTGAAGAGATGAGAGCACAACTAGTTGTAGTCTCCACACTATACTGTTCAATGTTAATAAAGCATCTCAAAACCAGCTACTTTATTCAGTCTGTTTCTTCTGTGCAATTCAGTTTCTCTGTGGTAAAGTCCAAAACAGGGAAGGAGCTCCTATCTAAACCAGGAGAGAGCCATGGCCCCAGCAGTAAACCTGGAAAAGGAAAATGGGCTGCAGAGGAACCACTCACTAGACAACAGCATACAGCCTGAAAGCTAACCCAAGCCAACTCCTTCCTGTCATCTGAGCACATAAATCATGTGGCTGGAATACAAGAAAAGTACCAGCCAGATAAAGATGGACCTGAGCTTCAAAACTAAATTTAGAATTACACTAGAGGCCAGGCACAGTGGCTCACACCTGTAATCCTAGCAATCTGGTAGGCCAAGGTGGGCGGATTGCTCAAGGTCAGGAGTTCGAAACCAGCCTGAGCAAGAGCAAGACCCCCGTCTGCTAAAAATAGAAATTAATTGGCCAACTAAAAATATATAGACAAAGTTAGCCGGGCATGGTGGCACATGCCTGTAGTCCCAGCTACTCAGGAGGCTGAGGTAGAAGGATCACTTGAGCCCAGGAGTTTGAGGTTGCTGTGAGCTAGGCTGACGCCATGGCACTCTAGTCTGGGCAACAGAGTGAGACTCTGTGTCAAAAAAATAAAGTGTACAATTCAGTGGTTTTTAGTAATGCAAGTGTCACCACATTCAGTTTTAGAACATTTTTATCACCCCAAAAAGAAACCCCGTGCCCATTGTTAGTCACTACCCATTCTCCCTACCCCCACAAGCCCCTGGCACTCACTGATCTATTTTCAGTCCCTGTGGATTTATCTCTTCTGCATAGTTCATGTAAAGGGACTCATACCACTTAGCAGAGTGCATTTGAGGTTCATCTATGTAGCATGTGTCAGAACCTCATTCCTTTTTCTGGCCACATAATATTCCATGTTATGGATCTAGCACACTTTAGCTGTTCATGAGTTGATGGACATTTGGGTTGTTTCCTTTGTCTCTTGTGACTAGTGCTGTTCTGAATATTCATATATACAAGTTTGTGGGTAGATGTAGATTTTCACTTGGGTCATATGGCAATTATGTTTACCCTTTTGAGTGCTTGTGGGGGTGTTTTTTTTTTAAAAGCCTCTTCTATGTGGGGGTTGTTTAAATAAAGTTTTGTGAGTAAGTGATACAATGACTGTGAAGGTGTTCTGTGATCAGTAAAGGGCCATGTACTATAAGATAAGCCATTATTAATAGACAAACCAGAACATGAGTGGCCGTGCTTGCTTGTATTCAGATGTAAAATGACAAATTTTGTGATATCTACAACAGAAACAGTGTACACAAAGGCATTGTGGCAGCCTAAATGTAGCAACAAATATCCGTAATTAAAGTGCAATCTGAAAATGCAGGGAAGAGCCCCAAAGCTTCAACTCAGGTCCCTAGAAGGTTATGGGCAGAAACAGTAGGACAGTTAAAAGTAATGGGGTACAGGAGCTATGATCATTGGAGAAGAGGGAGCTCTCTTGCCAGCTTGGCCTGGCTGTAGCTTCTGAGTAGCCAAGGTGTTATACTACAGTGATGCAGGCAGGGTCATTGCAAACTTGTCCCAAGAATACTCATGAATGCACCCCGAAGAATGCCATGGACCCTGGCTTCTGGGGCCAGCCTCCTCGGCCCTCAGACTTAAACATCTACGTACTGCTCTGATTCCCTTCCATGGAAAAGCCACTCAGCAGGGACTCAGGTGCCCAGGTGGTGTCCCATGCCTAGCTTTAATCCCCAAACGTGCTACTTGTTGGCTGTGAGGCCTTACCTAAGGAAATCCCTTACCAGGGAATCCTTTTTGCCTCAAGTTTTTTCATCTGCAAAAGGGAATGATGGTGCTGATGGTGATACTATCTAACAGGATTGTGGTGAGAATTTTAGAAATGGT